AAGAAAGAAAGAAAGAAAGAAAGAAAGAAAGAAAAGAAGGAAGGAAGACTGATTGACTTGTGACTCAGGATGGTAGAAGTAAAAGCCTGCCCAGGAAATCATTTTTAGTAGAAATGTAGAAAGTCTAAATGAATGAACTAAAAAAAACAGACTTACCCTGTCACCCTTGGGGCCAGGAGTTCCTGCGATTCCTCTTTCTCCTGGCATACCTTGAAGACCTGGTGGGCCTGTATCTCCAGGGGTCCCAGATGGTCCTGGACTGCCCTAAATAAACCAACAATAAGTGACCTCATCAATATAATATTAAAATTCAGGCACATTAAATTTCTCTTCTGGTAGGCCAAAAATAGTTGCATGTCAGCAATTTCATATGGTTCAACTTAGGCCTTACATTTTTCATTTGTGAAAATTGTCTCTGAAGTGATATTTTGAAATAAAAAAAAGATTTTGCTGTTTTGATTTTTGGTTTATATATTCAAGTTTTTTCTTTGGGGAAATTGAGCATCGATTCAATAAAAATAATGGTTGCCTTTCTTTTTCTTTTTTTGACAACATCATGGGGATCCTAATAAAGAATGAAGACATTACATTTAGAGAGTATTTCACTCTCTCTCTAATGAACCCATGATATTAAGCTTGCTTACAAGCTAATTCAGTGATTAAATTGAAGCAGATCCTATGTAATCACTCTGGACCTTGAAGATGATAAAGGATCTAATGTTATATGAACATGAAAAATTCTAATTTAATTGTTTACACTGAAGTTGTCTTCTTGTCTTCTACCAATCTTAATATGGCACCCAAACCAAATAGTACTGATTTTTGCCTTATGATGTATTCTACTTTCATAATTAAAATACAACATCCTTGCATATGATTAGTAAGCAGAACTATGGAACCTGAGACAGAAAAACAATGGAACACATAATTAGGAATACCTCTTAATAAATTATGCAATTTTCTATTTATTGCTTCTGCTTATTAATGGAAGTCACTAGTTAAAGTTACACAAACAAATATTAGGAATGGATTTCTAGATGAGAATGTATTACCATGTACACTAGACCATAATTTGCATCACAGAAAAGAGGCTTCTTTTCAACTGATTCTTTAGCACCAAGGAAAAAGCCTAGTAGATGTTCACTCAATATTTGTTGAAGAGGAAAATCATATCATCAAATTATGTTGGAACCATAAGGGAAACACATTCTAGTTCTGTCATGTGTTTACAGAGCAGTAATCTTGGGACATTTGGTCAGGGCCATACTTACTTTTGGGCCATCAGGGCCATGTCCTCCAGCCATTCCCTTCTCACCAGGGAGTCCGGTTATTCCTGGTTCTCCTCTTTCCCCTGGATTTCCGCGTTCTCCCTAGTGCAACATTGGGATGTCAGACAGTCTTAGCAACTGATCTGAAAGTAGGTTAAAAAGGTTTCTGGAAATCTGCAAAACTGCTTCTACTGGAGAAAAATTGAGAAATGAGCAACTATTGAGGCTCAATTTTCCTTTAAAAATTTTTTTAATGTATATTTATTTTTAAAAATTTTTTAACGTTTATTTATTTTTGAGACAGAGAGAGACAGAGCATGAATGGGGGAGGGACAGAGAGAGAGGGAGACACAGAATCGGAAGCAGGCTCCAGGCTCTGAGCCATCAGCCCAGAGCCCGACGCGGGGCTCGAACTCACGGACCGCAAGATCGTGACCTGAGCTGAAGTCGGACACTTAACCGACTGAGCCACCCAGGCGCCCCAAATGTATATTTATTTTTGAGAGAGAGAGGCTGAACACAATCAGAGGAGGGGCAGAGAGAGATGAAGACAGAATTCAAAGCAGGATCCAGGCACCGAGCTGTTAGCACAGAGCCTGATGGTGGGGCTCGAATTCACGAACCATAAGATCATGACTTTCGCCGAAGTCAGATGCTTAACTGACTGAGCCACACAGGAGTCCCGGGGCTCAATCTTCTAATTTAGTGTTAAGAAATGAACCTGGAATAAGGATGTGCTAGTTTCACAGCACAAGATTTTCTCATAAGATTGATTTTCATCAGGTTAAAGAAACTGCATGCTTAAAATAAAGCCCAGTTTATGATGAAAGATGCTTTTTAAAACTAAAGCCAATGGAAACAAAGTTAACGACGAAGGAGAAAATACTTACTCTAGGTCCTAATGGGCCAACTGCTCCAGGATCTCCAGGAACACCCTATAAGATATAATTTTAAAAACCGGAAGAATTGCTTTGAGCTAAATTTTAGGTATTTATTACAAATCTTTCCATATCACATGCCTAATTTCTTTTAATTTAATATTAGAAGTTTTGACTAAGCCCATACATTAGATGGAAATATTTTTCTAAAAAAATGTTTATTACACTTGAACATTTGATTTTGGGCAATTAAACATGCAAAATATTATCTCAGAAATATAATGCATTGGTTTTTTTAGAGACAACAAAATATACAGTAATTTTATTTCCTAACATGAACAAATTTTAACAGATGAAACTGAAATAAAAAGCAATAAAGAGACTGATCTTTTAAACAGAACCAATTCAATTTAATAAATATTTTTTGACCATACACTATGGACAATGTACTGGGAACTGTGGGTTCAAATTAGTGCAGTCATGATATATTACAAGTTTCAGTTTGTTCTTAACTAAAGGAAATTTTGTCATGAAGTTCAAAACTTTTCTCTTTGATTGAAAATAATAACTAACGACAAGGAAAGATGTTGTGTAGAAAATCATGGTTGTCAAAGAGTGAGATGAAAAGTAATTTAGAAGTTGGGTTGGTTCTGAATGAAGTTTTAAGGATAATTTAATCAAATTATTTTTCTTTCATTTTCTTTTTTAGGTATGCTAATGAGTGATATATGGTTTAAAAGAAATCTAAATATAAACAAATCTGAGGGTTCTTTCAATAATATTTTATCTCATAAGAAAAATATTTTATCTCATAGTTTAATCAGCTTTATGTGGTATTTTTTAGTGATATGTAGTTAATGGTACATCTTGCAATTACTAAATATAATATTGCTTACAATTTTGTGGTAGATAGTGCACTGTTCATAGTGTCTTGATTCATACCATTACACCCTGCAATATTTTGAATAGAGTACTTTTTGTCAAAGTAGCATATTTCTGGCAGTTTGGATGGTGACAGATAACTATGGTCACTACAACCTCTACCGTCTATGTTTATAAAATCACAAATGTTAATCTCAATATATTCAGTTATGTTTGCTTCCATCATAATCCTCCATCATGAGAAATTTTCATTTGTCTGCTAGAAGAATTCTCTTGGGCATATGGATATGTCTTAACTTTAGATAAGGCATCAGTGTCCACCTTCTGTCCCCAACCCAGGACCTTGCCAGGCAAAGTGAAACATGAAGTAGCGTAAGCTGTCCTTGGATGGTAACTTCGCATCCTCTGAAATGGAGGGCTGGCATTTCCTGTGCATTTAGCACCAGCACATAGGCTGGTAGCAGCCACACTAGAACGTCACTGCTACTACTGACTTAGGGACCTGCCTCTTATGTCAATTCCTCAAACTTTGCCTTTTCTAAAAACATGAAACAAAACAAAAACTGTATCAAGTGGGCCGCCAATCTGAAATGTATTGTTGTTCATGTGGTGTGGTCTTCATAAAACCCAAATCTAGTCGTACTACTCCCTACTTAAAAGCCTTTCATCATCTTCCATTAGAAGAATAAGAGCAAATAATATTCAAATTCAGACTTTCTATAATCTGGCTCCTGATTCACCCACCAGCCTCATCTCTACCTCAAGTTATACTCTGCATTCCTGACTTACCAAATTTATTCAGTGCCTTAATTTGATCAGCAAAACCTTTGCACCTGCTGTTCCCATTTCCCGGAGTATTTTATTACCTTCCCTTCTCCTCCCTTACCATCACTCATCCTTCAGATCTCATAAAATATATTACCTGGTCTGGGAGACTTTCCCTAAATCCCCAAGTCTGAATTAGGTGCACCCGTACACACAGTGCCTCCCCAGAAACTCTATCTCATGTCCATCTTGTTCAACTGGTGGGGGCCAGGGATGATAAATATTTGTTGAAAGGTTAAGTGAATGAGTGAATCACTCACAGAAAAATAAATTAAACTGATGTCTTAATAAAATAATAGAAATAAAATGGTTAGTATCTGTTCATAACCATTTATAAAGCCTCCAGTAAAACTCTGTAGATATGACAAGACATAGACTTAGGGATTAAGAACAGTCTTGGGAAGCACACTACCAGGATTCAAATCATATCAGATGTGTCACTTTGGGAAAGTTACATAACATCTGTGTGCCTCATTTGCCTCATCTGAAAAATGGTTATAATAATTATATGGATACCTAGATATATAGGGTTGCTTTGAGGATTAAGAGAGATAAGGCAAACCAGAACAGAACCTCAAATATAATAAGTGATATTATGAACCTACAATTTTTAGTATTGTTATTGTTACTATTACCTTAAAACTTACCTGATCACCTGGCTTTCCACCTTCCCCAGGAGGCCCTGGAGGACCAGGAAGCCCCTAAAAAAAGAAAAAAAAATTGTAGATTTGTAAAAGTTTAATAGGCCACTAGCATTAACAGGTTACCTTTTATATATCATGGCGTCTCCATGACTATACTTTCAAGCAAAATATATTGTTTAAACACAAGCAAAACAGAATGAGAAAACCATTATCTTCTATGATAATGCAGCAGCCAGTCAGCTTCTAGGTTTAGATTTTCATTTGCACACCACTTAGCAAAAAAAAAAAAAAAAAAAAAAAAAAAGAAAGAAAAAAAAGAGCTAATACTCTAACAGGAGATTCTTAACATTGGTCCAGTTTTTATGGGTCAGAAAGCAATATTTTAGGCTGCTAGAATAATAATGATAATAATAATAATAATATTAAAAGTCATTCCTAAAAGGTTTTTTTTTGCCAAATTATGATTATCCATGCTATTAAATAATAAACAATTTCCCACACCATATATATTTAAATAAATCATGAAAATTTGTTCAAGAAAAATTTTAAGACATTTTGTCCATAAAACTAGATAAACCTTAAAATAGTTCAAAAAAACTTCTTGAGGTATCAAAAACACCTAAAAATTTTAATTTGTTAATAATTTTGGATTTTGATCCATTTTTCAGGGGAAATCTGTTCCTTCCCTTTGAACAAAAATGTTGGGTTTTATCCAAATCTTTATTTACTAAAAGAGGGATGACTTTTTAAAAAAATCGTGGAATTTCACATCATTTGATCATATCTTTTTATATTTAAAAAAATCAGTTTAATTAATGGTAGAAGACACGGAAAACTGAATTATTACATACCTGAAAGCCAGTGGGTCCTGGGGGTCCCTGTTCTCCTCTCTCCCCAGCTAGACCCTAAGTCATAAAGGAAAGAAAATCATGAAGAGAGCCAGATCTTAACACCTGCTTCCTGTTTATGTGACCCACTGGAAGTATTGATATTTGCTTTTTTTCCAATCACATGCTTTTCACTTTAGCCAGATTATAAACTAGCATTACAAATAGTTTAATGAGATTCTTTGAGGTCCCTGCTGGTAAGAAAATGTCTTCTAAAGCCAGAAAAGAGACTGAGGACATATGTTTATTTTTTGATCCAAACATAAAATTGTCTGGAACCAAACACAAACTTCTGAGGAAATTGGAGAAATTGAACATGGAAAAATTCATTACTTTCATACATCGAATAGAATTAGGTAATACAAGTGTCCCCTGCTTTTCCAAAGTTGGCATTATGTCACTTTGCTTTCATGAAAGACCTGTATTAGTACCTCTTTGTGCTAACTCAAAGGACTCTGAAGAGAATTTTTGCTTTTATGAGAAAAAGGCAAAAGGCATTCAGAGTTTGTTTTGCAGTGAGCTGTAATAGAGGCAGTGCACACCCAACTCTTTCTGGGGAACTAGACTTAGCATCTCAGCGTCATCTGTGTCTGTGAGCATCTGTGCTTTATCTGGATTTATTTTGCGCATCTGTTAGAGCAAGATATAGCCTAAGATATGTCTTAAGATATGCCAGAAAAGCCTAAAAGACGTTATTTTGGGATTCTGGGAATCTTAAGAAATTTTTCACATAAATTAATAATTGCTTCTTTGCTTTACACCATTTTGGCTTACAAAAATTTTCACAGGGACGCTCTAATTTCTGTTCCAATTTAGTTCACAGTGTTAGAAGAACTATTAATCAAGCCTTCAACACTAGAGCAGCTGAAGAAAGCAAAGCTAACATTTTAGAAAGATATTTAAATTGCCCCATCATAAACAAATAAATATGCCAAAATATTTCTGATAAATATTTAATTTTAGAATCCTAGGATGCAGATGCACCTCAAAGGACAAAATACTTTCTTTTTTAGCCCCTCTAAAGAAAAATCAGCTAGCTTAGACAAATTTATATGAGACATTATCAGAAGAATTAAGTATAGTTCAGTACTTATATTTTTCAATAAGAGACAGAACAAAGTATTTGTCAAACATGATTCTGTTCAGTTGATATGTTCCTTAACTGTGACACATAAGGACAATGAGGTTGCTTCTGCCATCAGCATTTTAAAGAAGTTTAAAATGAAAAGTCCAATCGCTCCATTTAAAAAGGCAGAAGGTGCTGGCACAGGGGTCAGAAGAAAAGATTAGAATTCTTCAATCTTGCACTTTCTCATTACTTCCCCTGAAGCTTACTCATAAGTAAAGTCTTAAACAAACATCAACGAAAAGTGCAATGTGAATGTAATTCTCGCTAAAAGATCACATACCGGGGGGCCCACAGGACCAGAAGGACCAACTTCACCATCTTTTCCAGGAGCTCCCTAATATCACACAGAGATAATATGTGAAGTAAGGCCGTGAGACATTTGGGTCATTTCATATGTATTTATATATATTTCCTCCCTTTTGGCAGAAAATGTTTGTATAGTTACCCTCTGCCCAGGAACACCAGCATTTCCTGCTTCTCCAGGTTTTCCAGGGTCACCCTAAAAGAAAGAATAGAAAACTACATTAAAATTCAATCAGTTTGCTCATAACATGCCTACTTCAGGTGAGGATGATGATGAGATAGCAAACATATGCACTGTACTCACACTGCTACCTTTGGGGCCTGGAAGACCCATACTCCCGGGCTGCCCTCTGATTCCTATGGAGCCTGGAGGACCTGGCCGGCCATCCTCCCCCGGAGCACCCTACAAAATTGACAGGCGCAATGTAAGTTTTACGTAAATTCTCTCTGAATATCAGGTCACCCAAATTGTCACTTGCCTTTCTTTGCTTACTTATGAAAGTTATATAAGTTTTAAATTATCCTTCATCTTTTTCTCAGTGAATCAGAACAGTTGAGTGTTTTAAAAAAAAAAGTGCTGAAGGATGCTGAGTATTTAGAACAGAGATTTTACTCTGGTTCTACACATGACCCTCATCTTCACAGCTCCTTACACTCTTCTATTCATAGGGGAAATTGTCCTTTTACTCTTTAATTTACTCTAGCTTGCGGTAATGAAAATTTGGGACTTCATTTCACATTTTTTGGTATAAAGGAAGGGCCTAGAATACATAAGTTACCAAAAGTCATACCTACTTATCTCTTAAACCTATAAAGTTGGGAGGACATTTATGAAATGAGAATGTTTCCAGTAGACAAATTTCACCAATACTGGAAGAATACATAATTTCGACTTTTTCCCCAGATGTTAGAGAAGCAACTTCAATCTCAAACATTTATATCAATTAAACTTGATCAATTTTTAGTGAATTTTAAAATATGAAGATCCTATGAATTTGCTTCGGCATTTTAAACATGTAAATATGATCAGCACTCACATGATTAAAAACATTAACCTCAAATAAACATCTTATGTTATATGTCTATCATGGCTATGGATTTCTGTTTACGTCACTTACCAAAGGCCCAAGCTTTCCTTCAGGACCTTGAACGCCAGGATTTCCTGTCAGACCCTGAAAATTAAAAGTGATTGTCATTTTGTTGCTGACCTGCAACTGAGGTAAAGATTCTAGAGAGTAGGGGCACCTGGGTGGCTCAGTCCATTAAACATCCAACTCTCGATTTCGGCTCAGGTCATGATCTCAGAGTTTGTGAGTTTGAGCCCCATGTCAAGCTCTGCGCTGACAGTGTGGAGCCTGCTTGGGATTTGCTCTCTCCCTCTTTCTCTCTGCCCCTCCCCTGCTCACTCTATCTCTCTCTCTCTCAAAATAAATAAATAAGCTTTTTAAAAAAAAGATTCTAGAGAGTAAAAATAGCACTTCATTAAAAGGATCCAGTTCCACTACGCAATGCCCATTCTCAGCAGCCTTAGGCTCCTCTAGACAAACTTCACAGGCTAATCATGGGCCTCCCCCAGCCTGGTTTTGGAAGGATACAGGGCAGAAAACACAGCATGCCAACAGGCAGCATCACGTGGGACTCTCCACTGGGGGGCAGCCCTCACAGCATGGCCTCCAAGGGCATCATCTAAGCCTTCTACAATGGACAGGCCAGATGTCAGGAAATGAGTCTACATGGCGGGGACAGGAGCCACTTTGGCTTAGAAATCTCAGGTAACCAGTATTTGTAACAGCACCTCGAACACAGTATACTGATCCTGGCAAGGTGAATGTGCAGGTACCAGTTTCTCCAAACTCAGGATGCCCAAAGCCATGCTCCCCTATAAGGTTTTTATAATTTATAGTCCTCCCAGGTGCAGATGTGGTCTACAGTTGGGCATCATTTTTACTATAAGCAATGCTGACTGCTCATTCACCTGGCATTCCAACTTTATTAGGTATCTAGGGAAGAAGTTCTAAGAAAGTTCCAGTTTCCTACATAGAAGGAGAAAGGGCTGTAGTAGACTTTTATTCATCTATTTTAAAACACTGGGTACGGGGCACCTGGGTGGCTCAGACAGTTAAGGGTCTGACTTTGGCTCAGATCATAATCTCAGTTTGTGAGTTTGAGCCTTGCATCAGGCTCTGTGCTGACAGCTCAGAGCCTGGAACCTGCTTCGGATTCTGTGTCTCCCTCTCTCTTTGCCCCTCCCCTGCTCACACTGTCTCTCTCTGTCTCTCAAAAAGTGAATAAATGTTAATAAATACATACATAAATAAATAAAAGTGTTGGGTTCAAGATTATGTGGAGCCAAATGTATATTTCCATCCAACAACTTTTTGTATAATTCCTTTGTTTTTAAGGAGCATTGTGGACAACTGAATGTAACAGCAATTACACACTTCAAATGAATTTTCAAGTAACATTTGTTCAGGATGAAATTTATCAGGAATTCTCTCTGCCAAAAGCCAAACAGGTTTTTGTTAGCAAGTAAAGAAAAATAAAAATTGGCAAACAGGATTTTTTTTCCATGTCAAGTGGCAAAACTATTAATGCATACTCCTTTGAGAAAGGGAGACTAGAAATTACCATGTTTTTCTATATGTCATGAAAATAACAAAGCAGTTTTTTTAAAAATAGTAAATCAGGTCAAAATCGTAAAAACAAAAGAAATGATCCAACTTGTCAAAACTAGCTTAATTAAAAAACACTTCACTGAGTACCGACAAGCTGTTCTGGGTCGATGTAGCAAACTGCTGTGTTCTTACCCGAGCACCTGGAAGGCCAGGTTCACCTGGACGTCCTGGGTCCCCCTGCCCTCCTTTAGGTCCTGAAGAACCTACAGGACCCCTCTCTCCTTGAGCCCCCTGTTCCAATGCAAAACAGAATGTGTCAGAAAAAAGAAACAGTGCAGGAAGATAAAAGCAAGTGAATATCAAAATTGCCTGTTACAAGTCAAAGCACTACAATAACATACAAATACTTTGTCAAAGTGATTACAAAGTTACAAAAACTATCACTACATATTTTGTTCTAACTCCTAGTTCTTGTAGAATAATGGTTTTTCATTATTAATAAAAATTGTATTTAGATTATCAGTGCAATAATCTAGATTTGGGTGAGGGGGAACACCAAAATTCTAGAGTCTAAATTTCTAGATAAAGGAAAGGTCTGTGACCTTTTCTTCTCAGCTGGGTCTCCAGGAAGTCTGAAAACAAACTCCTACATACTTGCAACCATTATCCTTCTCCTCTAGCCGTCTATAATACATAAATTGCACAAGAGGGATTTGGCATTAGGCTTGACATCTGTGTCTGACTCTTTTCTGGATCTGAAGCCATGTGGACCAAAGCTAGATCACCATTCTGGACAACGGCATCTTTTGGGGCACCACCCACATTAATGTCAACATGGATGGGATAACCTCACCTTTGGTCCAGGTAAACCATCAGAGCCTGGAAAACCACGATTGCCAGGAGCACCCTACAAATGACCAAAATGAGATTCTTAATTGTTGTTGATGTTTTTGTAATGTATAATGAGTGGGTAATTTTTATTTTTGGCATTACAAGGTTTTAGGAGTTGTGATCAAGCCAACATGGCAAAAGATAAAGTGTAAGGGACAAAACCCTAACTACATAGAAATATTTAAAAATTTTAAATTTTTGAGAATATGTAAGTATCAAGCCAAAAATTATTCAAATTAAGAACTATCCTAACAATTAATTGTAAAATAAACATAGAGCAAAATGGTATCTAGATAAGCAGCAAAGGAATGGCACCATCTACCATGATCAAAACGTCAGTGATGACATACATTAGTATTGTCTTGTATGTGAAGTACTGTGCATTCTTTGAACGTCTCTACAAATGTAAGGTGATATTATCATTGTCCCCTACAGACCTGTTTCATTATACTCCAGTCACAGCAACCTGTTCTAATCTCTAAAATCACCAAGCCCTCGCTGGCTTTGCACTAGCTGTTTCCTCTGCTGACAGTGTTCTTACTCCTAAGGTCTCTTGCTGGTTTGTCCTCATCTTCAGGTATCAGCTAAAATGCCATCTTCCCAAAGAATCCACTTCTTAACCACCTAATTTAATGTCACACTACTATCACATACTCAAAGCTACTCTCTACCACATCACCCTGTAATTTCTTAAGTGTATATGGAGCTCATTAAAATGTATAATTATATGTTTGTTTGCCTGTTGACTTGTTTATTGCTTACCTCCCCACTAGAATAAACTGTTGCTTACTAGCCCCCACATGAAGGCTGGGACCATAGACTTCTTGTTCACTGATGTATCCTAAGTACCAATATATCGAATTGGCACAGTGTCAGTGTTGGCTGAATGAATGAATGAATGAATGGGCAATAATTATTAGACAGTTGGTTCCTTTAATACACAGTTAACCATACTTAACTGTGCAATGCATTTGCAAGCAATTCTTTCAATGACTCTAGCTTTCCTTATTATCCCCAAAGCTCCCCACATAATCTCCCCCCCCCCCCCCACACACACACAACTCTAAGAATTTATCTTATTATTCAAATTTTACCCTTTCTCCCATTGGGCCTGGAGGACCAACTGTTCCTGGATCACCTCGGGGACCTCTTTTGCCTTCTTCACCAGGTGGACCTATTGGACCCTGAACACCATGTGGCCCCTATTAAAAACAGAAGGACAGTTACCAGCAACAGCCATTTGACAACTGAATTATAGTCAAAAGCTTCATTTAAATAAGTCAATTACAAATTTTAAACTATATTAAACTATTTCCATCCAAAGTAATGAAGTCAGTTACAAGTTTTAAACTAAAGTATTGCCACTCAAAGTTATATTTCTCATTGATATTATTTTAAACACTTGAGCATTTTGACCTGTGCACTGCTGGACAATATTCATGGTCTTCTTATCATTGAAACAAACAAACAAACAAACAAACAAAAAAAACGAAGACTTACTGGTTCCCCTTTGGGGCCAGCTTCTCCTTTGAAACCTGGAACTCCTGGATCACCCTAAAATAAAACTATCAATAGTTATAAAACCCAGGACTCTTAGCCAGTCCAACTTGCTTTAATTAATTACAGTTAACAGGCCCTAAAAACTTTCTGCAGCTGAGTCTGTATTAACATTTTTTCTAATTTTGCAAATCTTGTAGAATGTATGTGAAATTTTATAAAACCCAGTATAAGTAGTTTATAGAAGTCTGTCTATTTTACAGCGGTCTTCAAAGGACTTATTTTTAAAACCTTGTGTGTTTTATCATGCATACTAGGAAAATTAGAATTATTCAGTTATTCCAATTTGATAATTAAAATTAGAACTAACAGTGACAACTTTTACAGATAAATCGATTTAGGGTATATTTTAGGAAATAGAGTTATTTACCCCAGAATCAAAATAACTTTATATTTATGTTATATTTATTGAGAGTTTGACAAGTTCAAATTCAGCATTTCATCTTCGGAGTGTTCTAGGGTTTTGGTGTGTATGTGTCTTTAAATACCAGTTAAACCTCTGGGAACCAGGTGGCTAAGAGAACATGATAAAATCAAATGTGAAATATCAGCAACACTCATGTTTTAATAAATCTGCCACCAGGATTTAAAGGGATTTATTAGCATAACTAAGTTACTTGGAACAGAATCTAAAATATTTGTTTTAGGTAGTGCTAAGAAAGAAAGTTTTAATTTTTATACAGAAGCTAAAAATATATAAGCACAACTTCTCAATGTGTTTATTTCTTATGGGTTTAGCATAACATTTTTTCTAATAAATAATTTCACAAAATACGGAAATTTCATTCAATGTGAATAATATGGTGGAACCACTCTTCAAGATAACTCTCAAGAAATAGCTGGTGAACCCATTTTTAACCAAATTGTCATTATAACCTCCACATTTCTTCACACTGGCTTGGAAAATATTTCTATAATGTGTACTATTCAACCACTCATAAATATCTATGAGATAGACTATAAAGTTATGACCTTATTATTTTAAATTTTAAAAAACCACTAAAATTTAACACAATGTAATAATGTTCCCTTTTGAATTTAAACACCTAAATTGTACATTAACATGTGGCTTCCACTTTACAAAGATTCCTATCTTCACTTGCTTCACTCAGATATGTCCCATTATCCATGTTTCATTGGCTCTCACTGAATATTATTTTGCGTGGTGATCTTAGTTGGATTATACTAATGGATGATAGTTATTTGAAAGGACATTACCGGTTGGCCTCGAATTCCTGGAGGTCCTGTGCTACCCTGAGGTCCTGGAGATCCAGGGGGCCCTGCTAAGCCAGGAGGACCAGAGGTACCTGGAGAGCCCTGTCAGAGTAGAAGAGTGACATGATGAGCAGAGAACCCAGTACAAGTCTACTGTCAATGTCCAAAGGATTGCATCCATTTGAACTTCACGTGGCATTGATGCAGTTAGTTACTCACCGTTGGGCCTTTGGCACCAGGTGTACCATCAGTTCCTACTGCACCCTAAAAGATCCATGAAAAGTTTACAAAATATTAAGCCATATCTAGGATGCTATCCAGATGTCCACCCACATTCCAAAAGGAGGCAGAAAAATTATTGTAAAAACAACCACCATGGGGAACCTGAGTTCGAGCACCATGCCAGGCTCTGTGCTGACAGACAGCTCTAAGTCTCTGTCTCTCTCTGCCCCTCTCTAACTCACACACACACACACTCTCTCTCTCTCTCTCTTTCAAAAATAAACATTAAAAAAATCAACCACCATTATATCATAAAACTCGCTTTATGACTAATTCCCTCTTCCATAAAATAGATAAAATTTTGCAGAGTTGACAAGAGAAATAGGTTTCTTTAATCAGTTGGAAACACTCATTCAGAATTCAAAGAGGATATATTAAAACTGTTCTGACGTTACAAAAGATGTCAAACTTTCTGTCAAGAACACAATTTTTTTTTTTTAATTTTTTTTTCAACGTTTATTTATTTTTGGGACAGAGAGAGACAGAGCATGAACGGGGGAGGGGCAGAGAGAGAGGGAGACACAGAATCGGAAACAGGCTCCAGGCTCTGAGCCATCAGCCCAGAGCCCGACGCGGGGCTCGAACTCCCAGACCGCGAGATCGTGACCTGGCTGAAGTCGGACGCTCAACCGACTGCGCCACCCAGGCGCCCCAAGAACACAATTCTTAAATGTACTGGGAACTTACGGGAAGACCTTGAGAGCCCACTGGACCTGGTGGCCCAGTTTCACCTCTTTGTCCCTGGGGACCTTCAGGGCCTCTTGCCCCAGTGGGACCCGCTTCTCCCTAAATGGGTACAAAAAGAAATGTTATAAGAAAAATATAAATGTGGTGTCATTCAAAGTTTATTGCTTATTTGGAGCCCTACATGCTATACTCAAGTATTTTTAAAGGGTGATGAGCACTAATCAGTTTATAAGGGTTGTGTGTCTAACCTAGCTTAAGGAGTAGACTCATTTTCCAACCCATTAAGTATGATAATATCTTCAGTATTAACAGCAGAGTAAAGTGGTCAAGGTAACCTGATATCTACCCTTATTTCAACCCATGAAAGAAGTCCAGATAGTAAATCAAAATACAGATGCCTCGTTAAGTTTTAATTCAGATAAATAACAAATAATTTAAGTGTAAGTCTGTCCCAGGCAATATTTGGAACATATCTATACGAAAAATTTATTCTTTACTTATCTGAAGTTTATTTATTTTTTTTATATATGAAATTTATTGTCAAATTGGTTTCCATACAACACCCAGTGCTCATCCCAAAAGGTGCCCTCCTCAATACCCATCACCCACCCTCTCCTCCCTCCCACCCCCCATCAACCCTCAGTTTGCTCTCAGTTCTCAACTGAAGTTTAAACCTAAGTGGGTTTCTGTATTTTATCCAACATATTAGGTCCCAATGTAGATCTAATCCTAGAGAAACCTGGACCTAGAATTTCAGAACTAAAATTCTAAGCCTGAGGAGGTTCATTAGTGCTAATAAATATATAAAATCCCTACTGACTCTCTGAAATTCGAAGAACTGGACATGGAAGTTTATTTTTCATCCAGAGAAACAGAGACCATGGAAGTACTTTATAGGTATAGCAGAATCATGGCCAAAAATGAAGATCTGGAAACTTTATGCTTGGCAGGGGAGGATGGTAGGATAGGCAAACAATTTCTGAGAAAACCAGCTTTGCTAAGCGTTTCACTTTATTAAACAGTCTTTAGTAGCCAAAAGCCAGTACTAGAAAAACCCAGGAGGAGAAGGAATTATGCAGAGTGAGCTGTTATATAAATTGCCATTGCTAATGAGGTCTTCACTAGATGCCATAGTAGGAGCAGAAACTACTTTCTGCCAAGTCTTAGTCCTAGGCATTGTGAGTATTCTTTCCTTAATTCTCTGGCCAAAGCTCAGTTTGAGGGTAGAGGGTCTCACAGGAAGGAGAGAAGGAGTTTTGTATATTTTGATGGGAACATGGGAGGTTGGGCCCTCCATGGCCAGAGTCAGTGGTGGTAGGATTAGCACTTCAGGGAGATCAGAAACAGAGGGATCTCAAGAAAGTCTTATCTGCTTGAGTGCACAGTGAGCTCTCAGTGAAACAAGGGACTGGTTGATGAAACGACTTAGGGACAGCATCATTTTAAAGTAGCAGCATTCCTGTGGCACAGAGTTTAAAGACAGTGTTAGAGAGAGCCCGAAGAATAATTTAACCCGATGACTCTCACATTTGAGAGTATTTGAAATGTTAGCTATGGACTTTTTGTTGTTTTTGTTTCACAGTTCAAAGCCCATTTGTGTAGCACTACCAACGAGAAGCAAGGACCTATATTGAGGGCATCCTCTGCATCAGGCAGTATTAGAGTTTGCATTGCTCTCTCATGTAATCTTCAACAAAATCCCATGAGAAAACAAGACTTACAGAAGGAAAGTGACTGCCATGGCCACAATCATTTTTGTACAGCAGAATCTTGTGAGTAAATCCCTTCTTTGAGATGAAGAAAATTATGGCCAAGGGAAACTGGGCGTGAGGGGTAATCCAATGTACTGTGTTGTTTAAAGTGTGAAAACAGGGGCGCCTGGGTGGCGCAGTCGGTTAAGCGTCCGACTTCAACCAGGTCACGATCTCACGGTCCGTGAGTTCGAGCCCCGCGTCGGGCTCTGGGCTGATGGCTCAGAGCCTGGAGCCTGTTTCCGATTCTGTGTCTCCCTCTCTCTCTGCCCCTCCCCCGTTCATGCTCTGTCTCTCTCTGTCCCAAAAATAAATAAACGTTGAAAAAAAAAATTAAAAAAAAATAAATAAATAAAGTGTGAAAACAGTGTTCTGAATGTATTCACTAATTTAGCTAATATAATCTTAATAACCTCTTACTGTAATCCTTGAATTTATCACCCAAAATACTGAAAGAACACATTGTGACTCACTACAGATGTAAATCATCCCAGCAGAATGCTTTAATCCAGTCCCCTGTGGAAAGCCAAATAGCCTCCCTGCCTATTCCTTTCATGGTTGTGTAAATGGTAGGGGGCCTGGGTTGGAATGAAAGCCAGCATTGTGTGAAAGAACAGCCTTTTGACGACCTTTGATTTATTTTAACCTCCTATTGTTTAGAACATTCTGCTATTTATTACTGCCAGGCACTGTATCCAAGAGCAGAGTTCCAATTCAGATTAATCTCTTACTCTTTGCAGCTGTTACAATTGTCTAGTTTAGAGTTCTAATGCAGCGGATTCTTTGATATTACAATTGTATGATTAGCAGTAATTCTCCTTTAACTACATATTGCATAGTAATCTCATTTTTAAATTTCTTTCTTTTCCTACCATTATACACACTGAGAATGCTCTAGGTTTATTCCTTAGTTAAGAGTGACTTCCATACAATTAATGACATTCTCATATCATCAAGTAATTCTTGTAATCAAGAGCTAAATATATTAACATTTTACCTTCATTCCAGGATTTCCTGGAAAACCGGAAGATCCAGGGATCCCAAGAGGACCCTATTAAATGAAACCAGAAAGTGATCAGATTTTTAAATTAATATCTAATTAAGTCATCGTTTATTCTTTGAGAACATTCTGTATTTTGACACATGAGAATAATCCACTTAGTACTTTAACATCACAAAGATAATGTAATTTTATTATAGTATCTTCCAACATTGATATGAAATAGTGCTAAAAAACTTGTCCAGTGGTATTAAACACAATAGAATTTCTTAGTTCTACTATATAAGAGAGTAAGTCCATCAAAACACAAATTGTTTGAAACAACTGCTTCTTGAGAGATGTGCTTTCTTTGTATTAACGAAGTAATACAGTTTTGAGAAAGTTATGTTTTATACCATAATCTAGGTCTCTTTAAAAAAATGATGCTTAAGAATCATTAGGATATTTCAAAGTGATTTTTGAAGGGCTAATATGTGGATATTTGTCACCATCCTACATTTGGGAAGACATGCATAGAGTTTAAGCCATTGACTTAAAGGTCACATTTAAAGGAAATGAGTATAAGAGGAATTCCATTCTAGGTTATCCTGATTCTTCTTTGAGGATTTGTTTTAATTCCATCAGTTTTTCAGTAACAAAATCTCTTTTAAACTATAATTATTCTTTTCCTCCCTTCTTTTGTTTCCTTTTTATGAATAACAAAGGAGAAAATATCCTAAGGGCAAATAATTCAAATCTGATTTACCCTCCTAGTATTCCCCTGAACGCATCATGTTTTTTTCATCTACCCATCCTATAAACCATGCTATATTCCTGTTCATTTTATATACTCATCTTTCAAATCTTAGCTTGAAAGTTACTCCTTTTAAAGTCTTCCTTGATATATTTATCTCACTATAAACGTAGGTACAGGTACTCTATACCATGTTGCACTCTATAGCATAGCAGTTAGCAACAGCATTATGATACATTATTAATCGATATATCTCTCTTCCTTGATAGACAAGGCAGTTCCCAAAGATAAATTCTGTGTGTTTATCATCTTTTTATTCCAAGTGTCTGAGATACAGTGGGTGCTCTGTAAATTTTAATGAATGTACAAATGGAACAATAAATAAATGAACAAATATGAAAGTCATACAACTCACCATTGGCCCAGGTTTTCCAGGCATACCATGTGTACCTCGTTGTCCCTAATTAGGAGAAAAAGGGACAAGATAAAATTATATTTTCTACAGTATTTGCTCATAATTAATTTGTTTTATGAAAATTCCCATGTTAAAAACTGAAGAATAAATATTTAAAGTTAACCAACAACAACCTTAACTAGGTCAAAAGCAATTAAAATACATTTTTGTACAACAATAAGGTAGGAATAAACACATCTACCCTTATAACAATAACAAAGAACAATCATGACTTAAAAAATGAAACTGGTTAAAATGATTCTTCTTACTTGAATGTATGACTTTCCACCAAATGAGCTCAAAGACAATGAAATTTTGTACACCTCAGTCTTTTTAATAAGCAGATTAACTCAGAGGAGTTAAGACCCTCCCACAAACTGCCCTCAGCTAAGGTAGCATTCCCAAAATTATGCCTCTTCCAAGGTCAATGAAGCAGTACAAAGGATTGGCCCTCATTCAAGACAAGTCTGAAAATCCATCCCGGTCCCATAGTTCTCATGGAACAGAAGACTCATGGAGACTGGGGTCTTTGTTGTAATTACAGTACAGTTTATATTCTCCATGCAACAAAGCCTGTTTTTTATTCATTTCTTCACCAATGTAGTTTCTGAGAGCACTCCCCAATAAATTTCCTGCACACCAGTCTTTGCTTTGATGCTGTTTCCTGGGAAACCTGAACTGAGACCAATACCATTGGTACCAGAAGTAGTACAAAAAAGCAGACTCTAAAATGGAATTTTAAAGCTGGATTCCTCACTGACCAGCTGGTGATCAATGAAGTCTGATTCACTCTTGACGTCTGGTGGTAATGCAGCAATAAATATTGCCTCCAATGGTAAACTAAGAGAGGGCACAAGTGTAAGAGAAAGGGCTATGGGTACAATAGCTCAGGCACTTGAAAAGGTTTAGAAGAAATAGCAATTATAAAGTTGATGGAATTGCATGAACTTGTTGAATGAATACACTGGAGAAAGACTTTGAAAGGCTAATCGTGATTAATCATCAATATAAGATTCCTTGGAAGCATTTTAAAATCTTGTGATCTTCTACAGTCTGAGGGAAGAAAATCCTGAAGGTTGGGCCCAGGGCTTGATAAAGCTTCAAGAGTTCTTGAGAAGGTTGAATTCTAAAACATGGAAAGGCTGTTATGCCATGGTCAGGGGCTTTGATTAGAAGGAATGTAATTTGACATTGGGATATCTTAAGAACTTTGAAATCTCAACCCTGAAGCCTATGGGCCTGTAGAAATTCTCACCATTCCCACCTTTAACAGCTTATACTTCTCCCTTCCTTAAAGATGTTGCAGAAGCCTCTACTTTATCGGACAATATATGCTACCACCACCAACACCACTTGCCCCTGCTCGTTGGCCACCAGACCAATAACTAGCATCAAGTCACAAAATAACTGAGTTGAGGAAAATCTTCTTCTGATAAAAGAGGGAAAATACACCCCAAAGGAGCTTTGAGTCCTATACATCATGTAGAGCCAGAATCCAAAAGAGAATGTGTGGGAGTAGGTCCTGAAGGTACTGGATCGTGAGGGAAAGGATATACAGTGGAGAACTTTGATGATATGGAAATACTCTCCCATGATACACATTTAACACTCTCATAAATGTCCTGAAAGATGGTATTAACATGGAAGATGCTTCTTGGAAACTCAGAAAGAGCAATGCCCCACACTAAGTGAGGTAGGAAATGCCAGAACTGTCTTGGCAGACAGCAGAAGAAAGCACAGAGAAGTGAACATACTAGATCAGATATATTATGTAAGGATGGATACATCAACAGTTGACTATATTCTACAATATTTTCTATGTTTCCAGAGGACAGTCTATCTTCAAGGGGACAAGGATGGGCCTAGTGAGAAGGTCTCACTTCTCCCAAACCAGGGCCCTGACTTTGACACCATTGAGAAACTCTAAAGTGGTTTTCTTCTGTAGGCTAAGGGTAACATCAGGGGATGCTGTAAACCTGAGTGAGATTCCTGATACTAATGGGGATGATAAATGTAAAAATAATAGAGGCAAGGTGGCAGTCCTTAATTGTCCAAATGAAAACAGGTAAAATATAATGAATTGCATGGTTGAAATATTAGCTGCCTAACCTTCAGAGATCTATGAAGAGAATTAATAGAATATTCCCCCTTTCTAGCTAGGTTCAAGGTACATAGGCAGACAGTAAAAGTATTTCTCAATCTATGCATTTAAAATAAATCAAAGACAAGGGTGCCTGCATGGCGTAGTTGGTTGAGCTTCCGACTTCAACTCAGGTCATGATCTCACTGTTCGTGGGTTCGAGCCCCACGTTGGACTCTGTGCTGACAGCTCAGAGCCTGGAGCCTGCTTCAGATTCTGTGTCTCCCTCTCTCCCTGGTCCTCCCCTACTCATGCACTGTCTCACTCTGTCTCTCAAAAATAAATAAATGTAAATTTTTTTTAATAATAAAATAAATCAAAGACAGATGATAAAGAAACTCAGCTCTTGTAAGGGTACACTCAGTACTTACCTTTCAGGATTGTGATGGATATAAAATAAAGATAATGGAAGAATGCTTGGCATATAAAACCTGCTTGAAAAATGTAACCTATTATTATAATTTTACTACTATTCCCAATTTCATATTTTCCCATGGACTATATTCCATGTTGCTGTAGGTTTTTATAGTTTTCTTAACTTCAGCATTCAGATAAGTAAGCAACAAATATACTGTGGTTATATAAGATGTTAACATTAACAAAAGGTAGGTGAAGCATACACAGAAACTCTCCATAGTATCTTTGCAACTTTTCTGTAAACCTAAATTTATTTCAAAATAAAAAATGAAGATAAAAAAATAAATTTAAATGTAGGCAACCAGTACCATAGTCTCATTTAAAAGACATGTTCAGTTCATTTGAGAGAGTTGAAATATACATACTTACAGGAGCACCCTGTGGCCCAAGTCTCCCTCTTTCTCCTGGCATTCCCCTTGGACCCTACAGATGAGAGAGGGGAAAAAAAACATCTCTTAAAGCATCTTATTTGAATTCTAAGGTAGTTTGACTACATCACTCAACTCAATCGAGACTCAATATTATTAGCTACCAAACAATATGACCAAACAAGGAGCAACTTCAGGTTTGAAACTCTCTACCTGTGGGGATACATAACCTACCACCTCTTACCTAAACAGATTTCAATTTATATAGCTTCAATGGGCTAAGTCTATAATAATCCTGATTTAAACACTAAGAAACAAGAAACTTTTTCTATTCAACGGGTGCAATTCTCTGAGTGTGCTGGTCTGCCAGCTGGTAATCAAGATTACTTCATCAGCTATCATATTTCCTCCATGTGTTTTTTTATTTTGCATTTAAACATTCACTTAATATAGTCTAAAAAGCAAAAAATGCTCAAAGTATTAAATTGATACATACCATAGGACCCATGGCACCCATTGGACCAGTAGGGCCAGCTTCACCCTAAAGCAAAAATGAGATTATAGTACAGTATAAGAAACCTACAACTGATATTCACATCACTTTTTCTACGCGTATGTCATTTTAAAAGTATATTTCCAAACTGGCTATTTGAAAGGCATACTTGAAATGACGGACCTCAAAATTCTGCTGTATTACTTTTTCTCAAAGAGCGATGGCAATTTAGTTTCTATGGAAATAAGTATAAAATAAATTGAGGATATAAACAAGATTGATGGAACTATCACATTCGCCCACATTAATTAGTATCAACAAAGTAATTATATGTTTATGTCTGATGATACTTAAGCTCAAGTAAAACTTTATATAAAGTTAAAATTGATTAATATTCCTTTAAGAACTATTATAGGAAGTTCAAAGATTAAAAATTTAAAGCCAACACACACACACACATACATATATGTATGTACATATATCTCACATTTATATATATTTCACATGATGCTTCCCACTAAAAAGTCCTCTGTACTTCTTCTATGGTCTCTCTCTCTCTCTCTCAACATAAACACATCTTGGGAAGAAACAACAATGGCTAGAAGGCCCTGGAATCGAAAGGGTACTTTAAAAATTGAGCAAATCGGGGCGCCTGGGTGGCTCAGTCGGTTGAGCATCCGACTTCAGCTCAGGTCACGATCTCGCGGTCCGTGAGTTCGAGCCCTGCGTCGGGCTCTGGGCTGATGGCTCAGAGCCTGGAGCCTGCTTCCGATTCTGTGTCTCCCTCTCTCTCTGCCCCTCCCCCGTTCATGCTGTGTCTCTCTCTGTCTCAAAAATAAATAAACGTAAAAAAAAAAATTTTTTTTTAATTGAGCTAATAAACTACCTAAACCTCTCAGATATTTTTGAAGGAGAAAAAAAAAGAGTGAATTCGCAGTACCATCTTCATCCACCCATCTACACCCATCCTACACTGGTATAAACCCAGTGCCATGGTGGCTACTCTTAGCTAAACCTGCTAAACCTATTGCCACTCATCTATGAAAAATTATATTTATCTACTCAACTATCCCTTTTCTATACTCCTCTTTCCTCCAGAATTTAAGGTGGTTCTGAAAAAACTGGTAGGGACCTGACACAACCCTGAAAAGCAATTGTGGGATTAGATTAAGCTACTGTACAGTTACCTTGGAACCAGGTGCTCCAACTTCACCTTTAGGGCCTTCAAGACCTTTGTGTCCCTAAGAAGAAAAATATAAATTTGTGTTTTTCTGCTTTTTTTGATTATTAGATGTGTAAAAGAAGAACCAAAAATAGGCTCACAGAAAGTGTCTTATAAAAACAGATATTTAAAGTCGTTACCCAAAATGTTTACAAATTCTCAACATTTTGTGAAAGCCTATTCAAAGAAAATTAAATTAAAGGTTTTTTGAAAGCCTATTCAAAGAAAATTAAAAAGGTTTCTCCCTTCAAATAACATTTTTAATTTATGATGTTATCACCCTTTAAATTTTTGTGACTTCATAGAAATTTATTCTATAACTACAAATGAAAAACTTATGGTGGCTTTATAGAAGACAAGTAATTATAGAGTTTATATACCTACAAGATATGGGTTATAGCCGGGTTGATGTTCAAAATAATTAATAACTAGTAGAGCACCAAGCATTCTAATCAGAAACTCACTACTCAAAACAGAGACCAACCAGTATATACTTATTAAATATCAGCCATGTTTTGTGATAGATAGATGATAGAAGATAGATAGATAGATAGATAGATAGATAGATCTATCAACCTGCAGTTTTTGGAATTTTGAGATTTGCTTCATTTGAAGGTAAATATTAATGCTGTTACATTCACAAATATGCTAACTTAAATACCCAATTCTATTTATCTAAAACACACATTGCAAACATACAAATATCTGTTCATTCCATATGTCCGAGCACATTCATTTCATGGTTTAAATGCAGAGAATAGACTCCCCTTAAAACTGCAAGTCAGGAGGTGTTTCTTTACAGTTAACTTTAACAAAATTCATACAAACTAGTAATTAACAATGATCTTCTTTACTTGTTAACTCACAAGGAAACACATTCAAAACTGCATTGTGTTAAAGTTTCTGTAGTAAAATGTAGAAAAACTGAACTATGCAAATATTGCAAAGTTAAAAATTCCTGAATTTTTTGTTCCTGGTACCACTACCACAATTTACTAGGCAATATACCTGATGTAATGAAAGACAAAGACAAAGACAAAGCCACAACAGATAAAAGACCTCAGGAACATACATCAATTTAACACCACGTTGCATTAGTCAATAACTGCACTGTTTGCAAACTGTGGCTATGACAGACGTGAACAAAAAGGGTTTCCTGCTTAAGCTGAAATAACTTTTCTGACTATGGATCATCACTCCTCTCTGGCAGATTTTTACAGTTCCTCTCAAGTATTTGGGATGACTGCCTCAAAGTAACCTGCAGCTTTCCTGACAACTCCTCGCTCTCTCTCCTGCTAAGAACTGTAGCTTTTCCTTCTGAATTATTTTAGCAGCTTGTACCACCATATCCACCACTTCCACCACCAGATCCATAACCATTACTGTAGGGACAAGCCCACGTTTCTTCCACCAAAACTGCCCCCTTCATGAGTCTATAATTTGATTGCTATTGTCCTCTATAATTTCCAAAATCATTATGGTTCCCACCACCATCATAGTTGCCTCCAACATTTCCTCCTTCATGGTAAGCATTATATCCTCCACCACCAAAGCCAAATCTGCCTCCTTGGTTTCCATATCCTGGTCCACCACCACCATAGCCTCCTCTACTATTGCAAGCAGGACTACCCCCATAGTTGCCACCATCACCTCCAAATACACTTTATCCACCATCACCTCCTCCAAAACTACCTCTGCTGCCATTGTCTCCACCACCATAGCCTTCTCTTCCACCAAAGTTTCCACCATGGCCAAAGCTACCGCCACCTCTAAAGTTTCCTCCACGACCCATAAAGTTGCCAGATCCAACTCCATGACCTCTTTGTGATCTAGCAGACTGCATTTCTTGTTGAGAAACGGCCTTTTCCACTTCACAATTATGCCCATTAGTAGTATGGTATTTCTGAACAACAATTTTATCAACCTTATCATGATCATCAAAAGTTACAAAAGCAGGGGCGCACTGAGTGGCTCAGTCGACTAAGGGTCCAACTCTTGATATTGGTTCAGGCAGGTCGTGATCTCACAGTTCTGTGCTGATAGTGCAGAGCCTGCTTGGGATTCTCTCTCTCCCTCTCTCTCTCTGCCCCTCTCCTGCTTGTGCACATGCATCACTCTTTCTCTCTCAAAATAAATATTTTTTATAAAAGTTATAAAGGCAACCCTCTCTTTTTTCCACTCTGCCTGTCCTCCATAACTTCTATGGTTTCAATCTTGCCATACTTTTCAAAGAAGTTTCTCAGGTTATACTCTTGTCTATCTTCTGTCATGCCACCAGTGAACACTTTCTTCATCGTTAGATGGACAGAATCCTCTCTAGAAATACCTCTCTTTGGTTCCCCTTCACACCCATCAACCTTTTGTTGTCAAGCACACATTGCTGTTGCCTCCTCCTAACACAAGAGCGATTCACAAAACCCAAACCCCTGGGGTCTCTCATCACCATGAAATCTGTGAGTGTGCCATGTCTCAAAATGTCCTCTGAAACCATCATCTGTAGTTTCAAAGCTCAGACCACCAATAAACAGTTTTCTCAACTGCTCTAGTTCCTTTGGATCTTCTTCCTCCTCCCCCTGCTGGCGGCAGCCACTGCTGAAGTCAGGCTGGGGGTTACTGGGCAGCAGTTTTACCTCCATTTTGAGTGATATGTAATTTCCATATATGTAGATAATATATAATAATTACATATTAATTATCTTGAGTTATAAAGACAGAAGCATTCCATGCCTTCCACATCGGGGTTGACTGGGCCCAACCTATGTTTTAGTGCACTTTCTAGTATCATGTCACTTATTTCATTATGGAGCAGTTATTTTTTTCTTAACTGTAAACCTTATTAGCCTGAAGCTGACAACCATGGGATTTTTCTCATTCACCACTATGTCTTCTTTTGCATCACAGTAGCCAGCACGAGGGTAAGAACACAAAATATATTTGTTATAAAATCAGATAAAATTCAAAGGAAATAGAAAAAAGCATTGTGAAGTTGGTGACCAGAGATGAATACTGACACTACAGCCAATTAAAGACAACTGACAAATAGAATTGTAAAGATGTTAAAGGTAATGCCCCCCACCCCCACCCCAGACCCTACTGGTATAAGCCATGGTATCTGCAAGGATTATAAAGGATTGAACTTACTCGGTGACCCTTCAGGCCTGGAAGACCAGGAGCCCCAGGAAATCCTCGAGCTCCCTGTGGGAAAAAATAGAGAAGGCATTTGAGAGTCATTAATAAGAACAGGAAACTGCTTAATACACTTTTTGTTCAAACTGAAAATCTAATACATAGTTTCCACTAACATACCAAAGAAGAGAAAGGGGCAGTGTACTTTTAATCTGTCAAAATACACCTAGATGATCAAAAATTAGCAAAGCAAACTCACTGTTAGGTATGGAAACATGACTTACACAAAAAGGCATGGATTAATGCCAGGTATTGATTTGATGACATTTCCAAATTTTGAAATTATATCACTGCATTATAATTAGTAGCAAAAAAACCCCCACAACATAGAAAAAACAAAGAAAAAACAAGAAAATAAGCCTGAATCAACATGTTCAATGTCTGAATCAACTAAGTCACTGTACATGGAAAAAAACCAGAAAAGTAACTTAAGGAAAACTATGTTTTCTCTATATTGTGCTTTACTTGTGGCAGAAGAATCAATAAACTTGTACACACCAATGTGTTTTATTTTCTCTGAACTACTAAATATTGGCAGCAGAATATGATTGGTGAGATTGCATTAAAATGTGTTCAGAAATTGATTTCAAGTAAAATGTTCAGAAGCTTTATGGATTTGTGATTGTTTAAAAGATTAATTGAAGAAATGAAATATCCAACAGAAGGGATGGTCAAGAAATACGGAGAGAACAAGTTGGTTCCTTGACTCAATAACTCCTTAATTTATGCTAATTTTATGCATCCTCCACCTAAGCATAGTGAATAAAAAACAATAGAAATCAAACAGAAAATTAAATCCAAAAGGTATGACTACTTTGAAATGATGCTTCAAACTTTTTCCTCATACCCTCTTAAAATAGATAAGGACCCGGTGACTTAATTGTTCAGTTATTCTCATTGCCTACATTAATTTGGTTTTGAACTGAATGCTATTACCACTGGTACCAGTCGATTGAGTACACTGATAGCATAGGTTGCTGTATCAATTATTAACAATTATTACTATTAATCTGCATATGCCTGGCACTAACCCTTACGTGAGTGGGCATTCAAGGAATAATCATTGTATAAACAACTGAAGAAATGGTTTAACATTTCTTTTAACACTCAAGCACTTTTCCTAAGCCTTTCCTAAGGAACTTCTCTTATTCTAACACAATCTTACACAGATGGAAAAGTCTTCTGTTTTGTACATCATCGCCTTCATTCACTGTTTCCTAAATGAGTGAATACTCCTTAAATGAAATTCATATGATAAAAGCAAAGCAATCATTCCTCTGTGACCTCTTGTAGGGAAAATGTCTCAGTAGTGCTTTAAGGAAGGATTATAACAGTCAGGGCACATCAAACCACGTTCTCTGGACAAATAAAGTTCCACTAATTCTTCTGTTTACACAGCCCTGCTTAGGAATTCCTCACTTCAAGAACTTCCTTTAAGTTTTTCCACTGGAATGCTCCCCTTTACGTAGATTTGCTCCCCTTCTTTCCTGAGCAGAAAACACAGTACACTGAGCCTATAGGAGAATTACTGAACTATGTTATTTCAAGTAATTAGTTAACTTTGAGTTTTTGTGGTCTGCAAGGAAATTCTCAAGTGATTACATATCTCTAATGCAACAAGAAAATGAACCAGATGTACCAGTACTCATAAAATTTTCTCTTTCTGCTGACCCAAGACTGTCATCACACCCCAATCACATGTCATTGCACAGCGCTCACAGAGTGCATCTGTGACATGCTGGCAGGGCCTGCTTCCTCCCTATGGAGGGCCCACACTGAGAGGATGTGCAAGAGTGCAGCAGGGTGGGAGTTCAAGCCTGGACCGGCTGACGTGGACATCTGTGCTAATGACTAAACCTCATGCCTTCGTCTGCACTGACTCCCCAGGCTGATGGGGGAGGAAAGGAAAGAGAGAGCAGGGAGCTGGGAAATTGGTTTTATATTTGAAACTAATCCTTACAGCCCTGTAAATTCCCTTAAAAGATGAGCACTCATTTATTTAAAAAAAATCCAAGCATTGAACCTCAATACTTTTCAGGAAGTAAATGGAGACTAATTCAGCACTATTGGTTGTATTGATTGCAAGAAACATTAGAAAATCATAGGAAATGCAGGGAGTAGAAGGTTAAATCCATTTAGAGGATGCCAGACAAGAAGAAACTTTAAGAGCAAGAATGTTAAGAGGGTTTCACTTGCTGATCTCTAATTTTCCCCATTGGCTGCGTAGCATATCCTAGGAGAGGGCCTATAAAAGTAACATGAGTGAGGACAGAAAGATGGGTTTAGAATATGGCCAAGGGGCTCAGATCCTGAATTCTGGTGGAGCGCGTCACCAGGGACGTGTCTCTGTAGTAAACCAAGGGGGGGAAAAACAGCTCTGTTAGGAGTGCTGGCCATCAGTATATCTTGTCATAAGATTTTAGGGTCCAGAACACCAATTAAGGATTTCAGCCAACATTAGGGTTTGGAGAGCAGCCAAAGAGGCATAATTTATTGCCCCTATCATATATAAAAGACAAATCAATAAATTTTCAAGCTGTTCTTTTTGATATGTGAACAACAAAAAATAAAATATTAAAAAGATAAATGGGATTAGGATGTTGGGAAATGTAAAGAGGTCAGGCTGGTGACTTTGCAAATTTGACAGTAAGTTTGGAGAGTATCCGTATTAGGTTATAAAATGACTATCTGATGCCAATTGTTCATATGGGGCCAATGCAAAATAGGAAATTGGAATTAGCTATCACTCTGGCAAAATGTACTGCTTCACGATGACAGAAGGGAACATATGTTGGTGAGAGCTACTAGTCCACATGCATAGAATGAAGCACAAGGTAATTTTAATGTTCTTTGCCTTTCAAAGTTGGCCTTAATGGCATTGTACTGACAATTATAAACTTACTGGAGATCCTGCAAATCCCACTTCACCAGGGTTTCCATTTCTACCAGGTTCACCCTTTAAGGTAAAAAAAAAAAAAAAAAAAGGCAAGGTGAGGAGAAACAAAGAGGATTCAAATGTTCCCTTCTAAGACTAGATGACAAATCAATTGCAGACAAAAGACTTTTTAAGAAAGCTCATGCCCAAAGCTCTAAACAGTATAAAAGTACTGGCTCTACTCCTGATGGCAATCCATTAGAGCAAGTCAGTTTGTGAAGTTCTCATTAATTTATCCAGAAGAAGAAATTAATATAAATTATACTAGTCTGACCTAGCTTACCATTTCATAAACGTTAAAATTTACACACATGTACCCACAGAGGCATATGCTATGAAATTCTATATCCACATGTGGCACTGAATTAAAAGTTTTTAAGAGTACTACTTGTCATTTCTTGTGATAAACTAAGAACTACTAGACATATTTTCCTTATGACCAAATTCAATGTAATCTCCTTAAATAAATCTCACGACACACAAGGAGAAAGTATTTACTTGGTGTAGTATCACAGAGAAATTAATGATTTAACCATGGTTTTAGCCTCAACTTTGGTACAACTAACAAAAAAAATCCAGAGAAGCAAATCTGTTTTTGCACCCTGTTTTTAGATCACATGTTATTACTTTTAAAATCTGAAGTTGAGTCTCAACTTTAAAAATGAGGAAATGGCTTTTTCAGCATTGGAGAACAATATTGGCACTATACTCTCAGCACGTTAAAAAACTCCGTTCAATGAAGACCTCGTGATGATGGTTAGCCATCAGAGCAATGTATTTTTCTTTAAATTCATTGCAAAGGTTCCACCAGCAAAAGTTGTGGCTATCATGACAGCAATTCTAGTATCTTACAGAGAAATTATAATGGACAAAAAAACCTTGGAATACAAGGAAAAAGAGAATACCTAATGATATAAAACCATCAAAATTAAGAATACTTTTAGATTTTGTAAAACCACACTCTGAGTTCTCCAGTTTTGTGTGCATTTAATGGAAGCTAAAAGTGGAGAAAATAAATTGGGAATTAATGAATAATATTCATGTAGCTCCTTCTTAACTTCTGCAAAATTTCAAAGCAAAATGAAGGATGGCAGCTTACATCTTCACCAGGTTTTCCAGGAGGGCCCTCTGGTCCACGCGCACCTATTGGGCCCTAATAACAAAATAAAACAAAAGGAAAAAAAGAAAATTTACTTATATTTACCTATACCTACCAATGAGATAATCTAAAATATTGTTGAGACAAATGAAAAATATCACAGAAAATAGCTTTATTAATATTCTGAACTTTATGTTGCATGCCTTGATTAGGTACTCAAAGGAAAGAATTTTAATTTCATGAATGCAAATATCTCAGCATAGTCTGCTAACCATATTCAAAGCCTCTGAACTTAAATACTCTACTACAGGGGCACGTGGGTGGCTCAGTTAAGCATCCACTACAGTTTGGGTCATGATCTAGACATCTGTGAGTTCAAGCCCACGTCAGGCTCTGTACTGACAGCTCAGAGCCTGGAGCCTGCTTCAGATTTTGTGTCTCCCTCTCTCTCTGCCCCTCCCCCACTCACACTCACATTCTCTCTGTCTCTCAAAAAATACATAAATATTAACAAAATTCGAATACCCTGCTATAAGAAACATATATCTTAAGCACTGTCCATAATACAGGCCTCCTGAACTGGACTGTAATTTCTTGCTACTTTAGGAAAGAGCTGGTAAAATAAATAATTCACAACATTATTATAATGCTGGGCCCATATTTAACTGGGTCTACATGCTTACTTGACATTTACCATTGGTCCAGGTTCACCAGGTTCGCCAGGAGGTCCTGTAGGGCCAACACCACCCTAAAATTGAGAACAAATTATGTAAATAAATATAATTATATGTTTATTATATATACAAACCAAAGAAAAACAGAATAAATTAAATTGTTGGCCCTACCACTTTCCAACTTTGCGTGAGTAACTTAATCTCTCTATACCTCAATTTCCTAATCTTTGAAGTGAGAATAATCAAGCTACCTACTTCATTAGGCTGTTGTAACTCTCTTAATAACAAATGCATGTTAAGAACCTAGAATAATGCTGGCATAGAGTGTTCCATCGATGGGATAGTTATCATCATGATCATGATTGTCTTCTTCTTCATCATCACCAACAACTACATTTTCTATTCACCAATGGCAGTAATATAAAATGGCGTAAGGTAAAACTCCACACACATGATAATGACAATACGGTAAAAGCTAAGAATTCTTTCTTTCCCTTTCTCTTGAAAACGTATTTCCTACTGCTGGTTAAATCACCACAAAAATTAAAAGAGCACTACATTCCTATTTTATTGGTATTTGATATGCTATAGAAACAAAGTATAGTATTATATTCTTCTTAAAGATTCCATGGATTGATTACCTTGACTGTGATTTCTAACACCACATGGTGGTAGCTTCTGTGATCTGATTTCACAGCCTCAGAGTTAGCACATAACCAAATATGAGAATTTTCATTATGATGTGAGATAATTATCTGTTATTTCAGAAGCGAAGGTACAAAAATTCTTTGCATTGGAGGCCAGTCACATAAAGAATCCAGATGATGGAACTTCAGTCCCATGAGGAAACTTGAAAAACATATTGCATATATTTCTGAGCAGAAGTTAATTAAATACAGCCTGTTCAAAGTGAGCATTACAATATGAAATTTAAAGGCTGGCCAAAAAACACTCATGTCCCAGAGACCTTATTTGTATTTGTTTCTTTTTTGCCATAGTATGTAGTTTAATCATAAAAAGACTTACTTGCTGCCCTTGTAAGCCTTGAGGTCCCCTTGGGCCAACAGGACCCTTAAAAACAAATGAGAAGAAGAGTTGGATAGTGTTCATGACAATTAGGCCAAACATTTCAAAAATGTTGAATCAGGCTTAGAATCTGGAAAAGTGAAGCTCTGACAGCAGAAGATGATGACATTCTCCATTTGTACTCATCTGGAATGCAGCTAAATTCAAGAAGATTAAAGTCTGGACAACATTTGGGATGATTTTATACATACTTTCAGTCTCATAAAGGGAGAAAAGGATATGCCTGTATACACCCAATGTCTTTGGAACAAGAGCATTTGCATGCATGAGGGTGGTTCTGTTAAGCCAGAACAGCCAACAAAAGAAAAATCTTGGCAGGCATTATTAAACTGTCTATATCAAACTGTTCTTCAGCTTCATGGCAGAAAACTTGTGAGCACATCAAATTAAAGACTTATGAAGCCATCAACAATATTGACTAGATTATATTAAGTGTTAATTTACAATTATCTATGGCACTGAGATTTCTGGATTCTTTTTGTCTTTCATAACATACATTTAAAGGATCAACACAGGCTTTCCCCTATTAAACATGAAATGATTATACCAAGGTATGACAAAGGGAAGAAAAGGAAAATGCAATTTGAAACATTTTATTAATAATATATCTACCTAATTTTACCTAATTTTGTAAATGTCAGGGAAAGTGAAATCAAATCAAAACCATTTGTTCTTATGGCAAAAAAATTAACCTTTTATTCTGAATTGATCAGATTTTTAGCTAGTAAGAAAGCAAAAGCCCCATTAAAAAAAATAAACATAGGGATGCCTGGATGCCTCAGTCGGTTAAGCTGACTTTTACTCAGGTAGGGATCTTGTGGTTCCTGAGTTCAAACCCAACATTGGGCTCTCTGCTGTCAGTGCAGAGCCAGATTTGTATCCTCTGTCCTTTCTCTCTCTGCCCCTCCCCTGCTCTCTCTCTCTCTCTCAAAAATAAATAAACATTTTTAAAAATTTAAAAAAAAAGATTCTCCCTCTCACTCCGCCCTCCCCTGCTCATACTCTCTCAAAATAAATAAACATTTAAATAAATAAATAAACAAACAAATAAATAAACAAACAAACAAACATATGCAATTGAACTTCAAATGGATGAAAACTCATATATTTCAGAAAAATATCCCAAGATAATCATTGTATGAGCCCATACTGCTAGTGACTTAAAAAGTATACAAACAATATTTTTTTAAATTTTTTTTTCAACGTTTTTTATTTATTTTTGGGACAGAGAGAGACAGAGCATGAACGGGGGAGGGGCAGAGAGAGAGGGAGACACAGAATCGGAAACAGGCTCCAGGCTCTGAGCCATCAGCCCAGAGCCTGACGCGGGGCTCGAACTCACGGACCGCGAGATCGTGACCTGGCTGAAGTCGGACGCTTAACCGACTGCGCCACCCAGGCGCCAAAACAATATTTAAGTCACTCATAATGCTGGCCTTAAGGATGGGTAAAGGGGGTGGTTCTGTGGTCTAATTTTATACTTGCTATTGCCTTGAAACTCCATTAATCTGGGATGCCTTTGAATTATGTTATGAACAAAAAAAGCATGGGATTGTTGGTTTGATAAGTATTAATTCATTCAGTGAGCTTGTTTTCTCCAAATACCCAGGTTAAAGTACTTGCCCAGAGAAAATGGGACTCTTTTTGGCAGTTGAAGAAATTCAAAAGAGGATGGGAACGGTTAGCAGGTCCAGTCAGGAAACTTCAGAGTTGTTGGCATAGGCATCCAGAGGATATTACGTAGGAAATAATGAAAATTAAAATGGCAAAATTTCCCATGTCAAAATTTTGCCAGATCACTGTTTCTAACACCATTAAAAGTACAGTTTTTGTTGTAGTAGGTTATATGTTTAAATTCTTTATTTTCTTCCAATATTAAATAAAATATATAGGCAGCCCTTTATTAAAGTCAACAAATACTTCACACAGTTATGAATGGAACACCCACTAGGCTTTTTTAATTGGTGCATGGCAGGATTTGATACATAAATTGAATGAATTAATGGGTGGATTTATTTAAGAAGACACATATTACTTCTTGGGGTGCCTGGGTGGCTTAGTCAATTAAGCATCCCACTTGATTTCAGCTAAGGTCATGATCTCATGTTTGTGAGATTGAGCCCCACAGTTGGCCTCCAGGCGAACAGCATAGAGCCTTCTTGGGATTTTCTCTTTCTACCTGTCTCTCTCTGCCCTTTCACCACCAACCCCCACCCCTGCCCCAATCTCAAAATAAACTTACAAAAAAATAAGACACATATTACTTCTTAATTAGCAAATTCAAACCTTGCTTTACAAAATGTTATTTTCCACAAGAACCTTGATTATCAGTAAAATTTTCACTTACCACAGATCCAGGCATCAGTCCTACTTGACTCCCAAGTCCAGATTTTTCATCCAATCCAGCCATCTGAGCTGAAAATGGCTATAAATGCAATGTCTTCATGTTATTTCCAAAGTAAGAGACATATATCAACAAACTTACATTCAGAAATGCACATTCTCTGGGATTCTTATAGAATGGCTCTGTTGAGAATCATTTGATATTTTAGACTTTAAAGCACAGAAAAAGATTCAAATTCTTTTTCATTGTATGTGTTTCTGATTGAACAATCTTCCTTAGAATATTTATGACTATGTTGCTTCAGAATAACGACTTCAATGGGCCAAATGTCTCATACTTGATAAAAGCATGTATCATTCTTCCAGTCTCATCGATTTCAGCTTTAAATCTCTTTATCTGATTTTCTCCCATGCCAAAAATCTGAACAGAGCCTAAGAGACGCTTTTAAACATATTCCCTAAAGATTCCGGTTTCAATTTGAGACTATTTTACTTAGATGGTATTCTTGTTTCTTTGTTCATGACCAGTAAACTTTACACTGTATTTATATAAGTTGATAAAGATTTTATAATCCTTCTAATCTTTGACTATTCCAAGAATTGGCAACAGTTTTACCTATTTTCTTTCACATCACAAAAACTCTGGAAACCCAACTGACCAAAATTGTCCACATATATTCCCAGAGTTCTTTCCAGATTTTGGGGGGTAAATGTGTATATTATTAAAAAAAATTTAATTGGCAATTACTTCTACAATCAGTTGAGAAATAAATGTATAAATTGTTATAAAACAAAAATCATATTTCAGGGCTCCATATGTTCCCTTGTTTTGCTATGCAATCTACTCATAAATCACCTATGTCTGCCACCAAGAATTCAAAGAAGCAGGTATAGAAAGATATTTTGCTTTATTTTATTTCTTGCAGGAAACTAAAATTTGGGAAGTAATCAGATAACATTTTTAGTGTCAACTAGGTAGCCTTTCTATATACATCATAATGGATCTGTCATCCTCCCTTCTTGTGGAGGAAATGACACCGATTTTGTGACCGTTCTGAGCCTAAGAACAGCAGAAGATTAGAGATGTTTCCCTTTTCAATTCATATTGGGAACAATATTAGCAGTCCTTTAGAATCAGCAGAAAGAACCAAACCAGTTCCAGAACTGATACTGAGAAATAAGTCATTCAAAGCGGTACTTTACAAAATGCTCTTGCGAATTTTCTGACAATTCTCTGCGGGTTTCCGAGTTCACTGCATTCACTTAGCTGCTGTTGCAGTCAAGGGCCAACTTCTGAACTAAGACAACTTAAACTCTTAATAATGTATCAAAATTTTGTGTGAGGATGGGCAAAATAGGTGAAGGGGATTAAGAGGTATAAACTTCTAGTTATAAAATAAATAAGTTACTGGAATGAAAAGTACAGCATAGGGGATACAATGAATAATATTGCAATAATATTGTATGGTGGCAGATAATAACTATACTTATCATGGTGAGCATTGAGTAATGTATAGAATTGTTGAATCAATAGGTTGTACACCTGAAACTAATATAACATTGTACGTCAACTATACTTCAAAAATAAAAAAAAATTTAAAAACTAATATATAATCGAAATATAACAGTCAACAATATATAGAACTTACCCTGCTCATGCCATCAGGTCCTGGGTGGGATGGATGTCCAGGAGGCCCAGGGGCACCAGGTTGACCAGGAACACCTGGTTCTCCATCAATTCCCTGAGGACCACGAGGACCCTGGAAAAACAAGCCCATGCTCATTAGAACCCATTGCCAAATATGTACTTAAGTAGAAATCTAAAAGACAGACTTCTTGATGGAGAGGAAGTGTTCATTATGTTTAAAATGAATAGCCATACTGTATGATTCCAATTCTATGACATTCCTGGAAAAGGCAAAATTAGGGAAACTGAAAAAGATCAGTGGTTCCCAAGGGTTGGGGTGGGAATGGGGAGATTAAAAGGCAAACCACAGGAGAATTTTAGGACAGTGAAAACACTGTGAATGGTACTGTGATGATGATGTATGTATCAGTATACACTTGTCCAAACCCACAGAGTGTACACCATGAAGAGGAACTCTAATGTAAACTATGGACTCTGATGGGAGATGTCGATAATGGGGAAGGCTATGCATGTACGGGGACAGGGCATATATGAGAGCTCTTTGTGCCTGCTTTGATTTTTGATGTGAACCTCAAACTTCTCTAAGAAAAATAAAATCTTAAAAAAACTAGATTGCAATCCAGCCAACTACAGCAATTTCATCAGCTCTGCTGACACTGCTGACTTCAGCACAGATCACAGCCTCTGCTTAGGGGCATGGTATATTTTGGGTAAGAATTTTAGTCTTGATGTGTTAAATACCCAGTAATGAGCTGTCTTGGAATAATTATAAAATTTTATTGAGTTCACCAGTATTCTAGAATAAGCTTCCTTATTTGGTTGGTTTTGTGGTATTTAATCAATAAGTTCTAAATTCACATGTCTTAGATTATGGTTAACTATATATGTGCTTGCTTAACCTCCTCCTACTGAAAATATATACATATATATACACATATATGCATATGTATGTATGTGTATAGGTGTGTGTATATATATACATATATATGTGTGTGTACATATATATAGAAGCTCCTTGACTGGTATGCTCCTTGACTGGTATTTGTGGCTTTTTTAATCTTTCTAATATTTTGATGTTTTGTATAGTTCTTGGCACATAGTAGACCCTCGATATATGCTTATTACATCTTCACATTTCAATCCTTTTTATTCTACTACTTAAGTTCTGGCATGCTTTGTTTTTCTTACCACCCCTAAAGGTGGATCAGACCAATGAGAAACAGAGGAAAAGGCACAGTGATCCAGCCAAGTCTAGTTCTCAGAGAAGTGAGCAATGATTTCTAGCTGCCAAATTCCACCCTCCTCCCAACCCACATTCTGAAGGCAGCTTGGTGAACAGCCACGTCCTCAGTTCTGGAAATGTTCTGTCCTCCAACCTCATCATTCCCACAAGTCTTGTGAAGTATTTTCTGTCTGTTTAACCCTGAAGAGTCTTAACAGTCTTCAAAAAGAAAGAAAGGACCAAAGAACTCAAAGTCAATATGATTTTTATAGTTAGAAGCAGGGATCAAGAAAAATATGATAAGGGAATTGGAGTTTAAAAAAAGAAGCTTCTCCTCTCTAAATATGAGAACACCTCCTGGCTTACAAAAGTAATTCAAATATGAGCTGATACAGCTGAAGGAGGACATATAAAACAAGATGAGGTGGGAAAGGGGGCAGCTGGCATATGATGGCTTTGGGGAGGGTGGCATAATTTAATTAATATATTCAAATATTTGTATAGATTCATATAGATATATGTATTTCTTAGAAGAGTAGAAGATAAGCAAACACATCTATTCAAATAGAAGTAGATAGTCTGAAAAACACTTTGAAAACTGATTTCTCAGGAAATTATTCTCATCCTTTATCAAGTCAAATGCTTTCTGACTCTTAAACCACTGTAGAGTCACTTAACTCTTTTCATTAGACATAAGAGGCTGATGTAAATTGCTGTCTAGGATTCCTGATCATACACATGAGAGCAACATGAGCTGGAAATTCATACTGTCAATGGTGGGACAGACAAAATTAGTAGTATGATCTACTCAGAGCCTTGTGTGGAAAACTTTTAATGTGTTTCTGAAATATGAAATTGCTAACTGATAACCAGGTATCATTGTATACAAAAAATGAACTAAAACATCTCTCCTCCCAAAAAGATGTCTAAAGACAAAATCAAAAACTACATTTAGTTTCAATGAGAATAGAGAGAGGTTTGGGTGGTATTGATCGTCAAAAATCATATGCTTTCTCCATCCCTCTGTGATTAATTAATCTATGATTACTGCATGGCCACCACCCTCCACCGTGATTAATTAATGTGAAACATTAATAATCATGTTTCAAAGTCTTGTTCTGAAGACAGCCCACTTTTCTATTGACTTCATGATGCATTCAGTGTCTCCAAAGAATCTCCTCTAAATAGTCTACATGAGTTACACTTCTACAAATTGAGATTAAAATTAATAAAAATTTTTTAACTTATCCAAAATTAAGTGAACATAATTATAAGTGAAAGTAAGAAAAAATATAATACATGAGCAGTTTTACTGATAAACATTGAAAACAAAAATATAATTTGGGAACACATTAAAATATATACTTTCATATTTCCAAGTTAGATGAATTACATACATTTTATATTAAGGTAAATATTCTATTTATCATCATTCTCTCCCATTCCTCAAGATACTCTAGTACTAATTTCAGGCAGCCATTTACAATACAAAGTACTTATAGATTACCACTAGGTGGCGACCTTTAAACATTCACAAATAAAAGGACTAACTACCCCAGTAGTCAAGAACTTTATTCACTACACACACACACACACACACACACACACACACACACATTATGAAATGCTAGAGTGGGTAAAATATAGCATATTTCCCATTTTACCTATGTAGAAACAGATCTACAGAGGTTGAGTGTCACATGCAATTAGAACTCAGCACACCCTATCTATCTCCTGACAGATTGCTAGTTTGTCACTATGAAGTTACTAGGATTACTTAGTTAAAACTAAGGACATATGATAAGAGACAGTCCTGGGGGTCACTGACTAGTCATAAAGACTTCCGGAGAGTATTTATATCACAGTAGTTCTCAATCCTGAGCACTTTTGCTCCCCTCTCCTGGAGACATTTGGTCACATCAAGAGACATTTTTGTTGTCGCAATTGTATGTGGGAGGAGGACAGGTGTTGCTACTTGGCATCTAGTGGGTAGAAATCAGGAATTCTGCCAACCATCCTACAATGCATAGCTATTATGTGGCCCCAAATACCAATAGTGTTGAGGTTGAGAAACCATGCATTACATAGTGAGCATTCTGTAGTGTCTGATGGTAACGGAAGCAGGAGGAGAAAACGGTATTTATGATAGCTGTACCACCCTACGTTGTGCAAGCCACAGCTTTAGTCTAGTTAAGCAGCTCCTGCAAGTCTTGGGACCTGAGGCAAAATGCTCTTCCAATGGATATTTTGTAACATCATGCCAGTATCTTGCAATTGGCCATAGTGGAAGTATTTACACCAGGGAAATCAGCAAAAGTATAGGCACATTTTTTTTAATGAGACAGTTGTTAAAAACTATCATCCCACTGCTTGCTAGGATTAACAGAGGAACAGATTGCCTATTTGGGCAACTGCCAGGATTGTTTTTGCTTAATTCCAAATAAATAACTACTCCTCACTCTTTTAAATACACACACACACACACACACACACACACACACACACACACCTAATTCCCATTGATTATCTCAGGGCTAACCAAGATAGGAAGGGCAGCATATCACACACTAAGTCAAGAAAAGAAGACAGGGTGACAGCAGACTCACTGAATCCTAACAAGGAATTCTGAAAACGCAATCACTATTGCTATAGTAACTTCCACCTAGACCTAGGGCTAAGTGTTATCAATTATCCTGGGCACAAGTACATTGATGCACAATGTTACTGCATGGCCACCACCTTCCACCTAATTGAAATTATCTTCGACCTGTTTATGTCATTCTAGACCCTTGGACAGGCATCTAGAGAGCTACTAACAGTATTCAGGTCACCAGTACTCGTGAGACAGCTCAGTAGAACAGCAGTGAAGAATGAATAACGGCATAAGATAATCAGAACATAGCATTACTGCACACATATACGACTATGCCCCATTTCCCCGGGGTGCTGTCATTTACCTGCATGCCTGCCAATACCATCCATAACTCCAGCCCCAGTTTTGTAGTACTGTCATCATGCAATACTTGGTCAAACGTATTCAAAGATGAATCAAGGGGCAAGAGTTCCAAGCAACATGACCTAAAATACATTTTTCTTTATTTATATATTCAAGGTTGTCTGTTGCTCTCCTGCTTATCTATTTCTCCCATATAAATATGTATAAATACATATTTGGAAAGCTAAAAACCTAGAGAGTTGAATTTAGTAGACATTAGACAGAAAATTAAACAGCACAAGCTTTTCTGATTAAAACATAAGATAATGATAGCAATACAATGATAGCAATACAAAAATTAAGCGAGTTATTTAATACAGAAAGACATTAGTTTCTGAGGGTAGGATATAAAAAGAAACAGAATCGCTATCCTAGGACTTGCTAATAAGAAAAAACATCTGGCATGTGTTATATAATATCTTCATGTTTTATCTCCAGGGTATCAAGTTGATCATTTAAATTTAAAGGTGTTCTCTTTGTTCTGGTAACGGATTTGTTGATTTTTAAAATGACTCCTTTGATAGTTCTGCAGCAGCTGCACAGTGAAAATAGATAGAGTGTTATTTGGGAAATAAATTCATTGTACAACCACTTGAAATAAAATTTAGTCCTCTAATAATTTTTTTTTCCTTTATCCAGTTTGGTTATCCCTGCAGCAACCACAGATCACAGAACTTTGGTGTTTTATCTCAACAGTACATTCCTGGCATTGTTCACTCATGATTTACAACTTCTGAAAATAACATGAGGTATTCATTATGTTTCCTTAGGTTTTCTACTTTATTTTACTTTGACCTCACGAGGGACAAAGAAATGTCATTTGTGTTACCTAAAAAGATAACAGGTAATTATTACCATGTGATACTTTCCTCTGAATCAGAAAAGACCCACAATCACTTCATGACCTGAATTCTGTCACATTTAATAGAGATGAGAGAGAAACAGTGCCACCAACTCTTTGTTGCATCCAGAGAACGTGGTACAGACGGGCTTCCCCGGTACGTGGTACACTTCTCTGAAAAGGGAACTCTGCTGTCAACTTACAGGTTTTCCTTTTGGGCCTCTCTCTCCTCTTGGTCCTTGTGATCCTGGAGGCCCCTGAAATGGAAAGTGATGATTAAGCCTGCAAAACACGTATACTTCAGATGTTTTTATTTTAAATGTTTGCTTGATCTAAGAAAATCAGAAAACAAATATCACTTTTTTTTAAATTCAGTTCAGTTGAAGACTGTAGAAAATAAAGCCATGTGCGTATAAAAGCTCTGTGTACACAGAAAGGCTATTTATATTAGCAATGAAGCTTAAAGGTCTGTAAAGAATTAAAGAATTAAGTGTTACATTACAGCATCATGGAGCTCAGTGAGCTAAATATATTGCTTGAATGATAATTACAAAGTTTATGAGGATCGTTTTTGCTGTCTTGTCCTAAGCAAGCCTTTGTCACTGCATTATGGCCATAAAAACCTACAGTTTGGATTTTTAGAACTACATAGATGTGCAAACCCTAAATTACCAATGATCTGAGGGAATATATGTATGTGTTTTCTGTCTAGTTACCTAGAATGCTACTGCTAATCCAAACCTGAAATCAGTAGTCTTTTGTGCTAACCCAGTAATATGCTATTCTGCTGTATAATTTCTCAAATTCTATGGAAATACGATTTAATTTCATTAACAGATGAAATTAACAGTTTGTTTCATTAAACAGATAAACGTAGTCTATCTTTAATTATTGCCAAACAATAGGTAAGTGTGTCTTAATGAGTAAAGCTAATCTAAAATTAACAATGTAACAATAGATCATTTTGGCTTTTACATAGCCAATAAAAACACTAACATGGAGGAAAAATAGGGTTCATCAATTTCAGAACGAAATGATCTTTTATATATCATTCATTGCTGCAAAGGAATGCTTATACTTGAAGATGTTTCAAAACAAAACGTTTCAAGAAACCAAGCATCATGGTTTTCATTCTATTGTCTTTTGATGGATATAATATTCATAAAGATGTTCAGTAACTGTAAGAACTTAAGAGTACCATGAATGTTGGAGGAAACTACTTACTGCTGGTCCTGGACGACCACGTATGCCTGTTACCTACATGATAAACAAGATAATCTGTAAGGATGAAGTTTCGATAGAGTTTAAGAAAAATCAATAGTCAAACAAATAAGAATAACAACAAAAGCCCCAGTGAATTTTTTCAGAGCAAACAGATGTTGTCAATTGATGCCCATGTCCTCCTTGCTTATGCCTTAAGATGTTATCTAATATAAACTCTCATATACAGAGGCAGGACTGCTATAGGGATTAAGAGCACCACACTGGAGCCAAGAGGCCTGGGTTCAAATCCTAACTCTATCCCTTACCAGTTGTCTGACTTTGGACAAATTACTTATTACTTTATGTTTTCATGTTCCTCTTCTGTAAAATGATGATGATGATTATGAAATTACCTCCTTCACAAAGTTGTCATGAAGACAAATAAATATTTGTAAAGCACTTAAAATAGCATGTAAGACATAGTAAGTACACATAAGTGTTTTTAAATGAAAGACAACAATATGAATGGTTTACTTTTTAGGTAATCTTTGTTAAAAACAAGCCAACTTCAAGGCAAAGCAAAAAGTCAAACACTGCCAAATAAATCAACGTGCATATACTTTTCTTCTGACAGAGTGATGATAACTCCTTTGAGATCTATGAGACTGATGGTTGAAGAATTTTCATCCCACTTAACAATATACTTTTTGATCATGTACAAGTCTAAACAAGTCTTAAGAACTCTTATACAATATGGAATTTCAATCAGGAAAATGGCAAGATATATTTCCAGAAGTGTGGAATATTAAGTCATGCCTTTTATTTGGATTACATGACTATTTATACCACAAAAAATAGGGGCACCTGGGTGGCTCAGTTGGGTAAGTGCCCACCCTTAGTTCTGGCTCAGGTCATGATCTCCCAGTTCGTAAGAACTGGAGCTGGGAACTGACAGTGTGGAGTCTGCTTGGGATTCTCTCTCTATCTCACTCTGCTCCTCCCCTGCTAGCACTGTCTCTCTTTCTCTCTCATAATAAATAAATAAACATGCAAAATATATATATACATCTTAACTATCACTTTACATCTATATATAATATGCTTAACTTTAGAAAACCCTGATTTCCATTTATAGTCATGGGACAATAAAAGTCAGGAATATTGTAATAAATAAACATTAAATAGTATATTAAAGAATTAACCTCTTTTGGTTTGTTTGTCTTATACTATAGCTTGGTTATACCATAACTAACATCCCTTTTCACAAGAGTGTGTATATATGCAAAACTTTACAACTATACTATAGCTAAGTTTATTAAAGACACATGAAAATCAATATATACATATACTTACAACAGGCACTAATCCTGGTTCTCCTTTTTGTCCCTATGAAGCAAAAATTGTTCAATTATCAAAATATAATAGCTTGGTGAGGATAGTTATATCATACTAGAATATTCCATGTAAACACTGAGAATTTCTATGTAAGAAATGTAAAAAACAAAAATGAGAAAAGAAGCAATATTTATAGTAGTCAGACATTGATGAAAAAAATTACTACTCATCTGAAAGACACAAAAATATCAATCCAATGTTTGAAATGCGTAATTTCAGTCTTTATAGTGAATATCTAAAGAACTGACCAGACCAAGAAATACTTGTGATTAAAAGGATGTAAAGTCAAAGCACCATAGGAAAAACTACCCAAAGACTGAAAACTCAGAGAAAATACAAAACTTGGATATGTTGAATTTTCACACTCATATTCTATGCCACCTAGTTTTAGTAACTTATCAGATGCCATTCCTAAAACTCTTGCCACCTTTTTTAAAACTCATGGAAGAATCTGAGAAATAACAAGAGGTAAGTTTGCTCATCTTCAAAAGGAAGAAAGAAAGAAAGAAAGAAAGAAAGAAAGAAAGAAAGAAAGAAAGAAAGAAAGAAAGGAAGAACATACTTATATTGGTTAGGTAATTCTCAATATCTGAAGAAAATCAAGAAAAAATATTAACTGAATAGGAAGATAAAAATAACACAAAAAACAATCATAACATAAAGGAAATAACATTGGACAATTTAATTGCCTTTTATAATAGATGTAGCAAACATAACAGATGTAGATGGGATTCTTAGAACTTCAGTCTCTCAAAAATTGTATTCTCAGAGCATGATTTCAAGTACATAGGTAAAATAATATTGGATGAATTCTACCTTCATATACCTTTATTTTACCTTGTATCTACTTGTATTATTTATTTTTGAATTTGTCTTCCAACAGATTTTGGTCTCCTTAAGGTTATGATCAAGTCTACTTTACATCCTCGTTTTGTCTAACAGAAAACCTCAATAAATTCTTGACCATATTAATTTCCATTAATATAGTATGAAATAATGCTTTTTACTGGTTAATTGCAAAGTATGACTACATTAAGGATTATATCCAAAATGTAGAAGAAGCAAGAATAATGAGTTCTAGGGGCACCTGGGTGGCTCAGATGGTTAGGGGACCAACTTCGGCTCAGGTCATGATCTCACAGTTCATGAGTTCGAGCCCCTCATCGGGCTCTGTGCTGACAGCTCAGAGCCTGAAGCCTACCTCAGATTCTGTGTCTCCCCTCTCTCTACCCCTCCCCTGCTCACGCTCTGTCTCTCAATAATAAATAAATGTTTAAAAAATTTTTAAAAAGACTAATGAGTTCTATTTTATTTAATTTTTATTTTCACATATATTGCTCTTCTATCTGATTATAAAAAGTATATTGGTTAACAGGGAATTTTGAAAATAGAGGAAACTTACAAAAGAAATTAAATATTATACCCAACACCCAGGAGATAACCACTTTTAACACTGTAGTATTCTTAGTTTTCCATTGTTTACCTGAACTTGGTTTACTTAATCAATGCCTCAGTATTTTACTCTTAGATTATACTTTCATTTTTACAATTAAAAATATCATTACAATGAATATCCTTGTTTATAAATACTTGTGTAGTACCTCTAACTAATACCTTATGGTGCATCTCTAGAAGTTGAAGTTGTAGGTTAAAGATCATACATATTTTTTGGGTGTTTGATCCAGATCTCCTAAGTGTACTCTTGATAGGTACAATTTAGTTATATCCTGCCAGTAGTATCCCACCTCTGACAAAATTTTGTAAAGTGATATTTAAAAATTATTTTACAATCATCATAGTCTTAATAATGGATTCAATAGCAGAACAATACCCTGATCATCACTGCTGATTCTACTGCCAAGGTTAGGAAGTCAGGAATAAATTGATAATTCAGCCCTGGGAAATTTCTCTACAGAGGCAGGAGGGAGCTCTATATGAGTTAAGTTCAAGGTAGAACACAAGAGACTAAAAGACAACCTACAAAAAGACTAGAGAAGAAAGGGATGAACACATATGGTCAGTAAAACAGAGCAGGCTTATTTCTGCATTTCTAAGTCTCCTAACTTCTAGCTTGAGTCTTTCCATTTATAACATAATCTGAAAGTAATAAAAATTCATCTTTTAAGAGCTGTAAGGGCTTTCTTTGAGATGCTGAAAGAATTTGAATTATTTAGGAAGGGTAGGTAAATGTGTGCCCAACACCTAAAGGACTTTATGAGAATAATGCTGGAAAAAAAAATCTTTATTTCTGGAATAAATTTAGAAAAAACAAGTAAAAAGTGAGGAGAAATTATTTCAACCAAAGAGAGAAAAATGAAATAGTCCACTAAGAATGACTGGGAAATCTCCATTTTATGAGACCAGCAATTATAATGCAGCCTTTGCTCTTACTTTGTGTTTAGGAGAATGGTATTTGCTTGTACCTTTCTCAAGTAAATTGTAAGTTTTTTGATGTCTTATTACAAACTTTTTATTGCTCCACAATACTTGATATGGGATTCGGTGTTACATTATCAGGTTCCATGATAAATTTTTCTAATGATTCTGTGATAATTCTTATTTTGGAAATAAGCCACTAATGTAAGTATTTGTTGCTTTTTTTAAATATGGGCTTTGAAAAAATAAAAAATAATATGGGCTTTGAATAAGTTAATTTATATGCAATGAAGATTTATCTAAACTTTTGCTAAATGTGATTTTCATACTCACTGGGAAAGATAACATTCAAATACTCTGATTCAGATGTGAATTACAGTTTAATTTTACCTCTTGTCTGTTACTTATCACTTAATGCCACATGGACATGCCTCGCCACTTTTCTAGGATGCCATTACCATGGAGACAGCCACAGCGTTTTGCCCACCATTGCATCATCTTTATCATTTGCCTCATACAGGAATATAACAAAAAGGCTCAGTAATTATTTGGGAGTTAACATGCATGAGAGAATAGATTATAAATAACATCAGTATTAATATAAGCCATGCACAAAATACATTTTTATAACATTACTCTGCTCTGAAAGTTCTGATGGCACATGATAACAAATGACAGAGTCATGAATATAGCGGCACATAACTAGAATGTGGTAAATTGGCAGCTGGTTTGAGTGTGTCTTTCTCCCAGCTGTCCCATACTGCCTTTGGAAAACTTCAGATTTAATTTCAGATGTAAATAAATGTAAGCTGGAATTTGTAGACCTATTCATTTGACATATATTCAAATCTAAATAGCTTCACTGATATTTATTCCAAATAAGACAATTTTTGGTACTGCCTTTTTAATCCAAAAGTATAAAAGTAGCCAGGACCTCCCTTGATAGCATCACTTTCATTTACCATGAAGGTGTAGCATTGCTTTATCACCTTACTGAAGTTCTACTGTATGCAAAAGTAAAGGCAATTTAAAGTCGCTGGTAATCTGCCTAATATCTGCCATGAAATTTGGGATGACTTCCCATTTCCATTCCTGATCCCTGTGCCCATCCCATCTGGATAAGACTGAAGCAAATGCCACAGTTTTTAAATTACCTAGAAAACTGAGAACAATTCCAAGGGAATGTAACTCTCTTCACTCAGGGGGATTACCCATATCCAGATGACAAGTGGCTAAACTGGCCAGCTGTATCTAGGCTCATAACAATATCATACATTGTCCTCTTGAGTGTAAGGCTTGCCTCTGGGATTAGATCTTAGGCTCCTTGAAATGGCAGAAGGGGAGGGAAGAGAAGGTGATGTGTGTTTGGTAAAGTGTTCAATTAATTCTTTTAGACATATCTTTACTTCCCAACCAATAGAAGCAGGACCACAACCCCACTGAACAACAGCCATCACCCACTCACCTACCCTTCCTTCCTTCCTTCCTTCCTTCCTTCCTTCCTTCCTTCCACTAAGCAGTTACTGCACTTCTAATATGTGCAAGGTATATACTAAGTACAGTGATACATGTAAGTAATTCAAAGGCTCATGTGGCACAGTCTCAATCCCTAAGAGATTTACAACCTTCTAGAAGAAATACCTATAAACAAAAATTAACAAAGTGAATAAAATAGAGGCAGTTGTAATCTATAAGCAAAGTAGCTGAACTGTGTTTATATATTTTTATTTATATGGTATGTACTTACAAAAGACTTGTACTTTACAAAAGACTTTCAAATACACAAAGCACAGTCCTGTGTGAACAGTTATCATAGAATAAAAAAGAAATTTATGAAAATGGAACTATGCAAATTAAAACTTACCTTTCTTCCTCTACCTATAAAAGGGAAAGAATAAATATGTTATTTTATGAAGAAACAGTAATTGAGAATCTCCTAAATATTTATTTTCAATAATAGGTTTTTTGGGGAGTCAGAATTTAACCTAAACAGGTTTCCCTATTACCAGTAAGCAAAACTCAAAAGTTGTTTTTGATCAATATTTCCATTACAGGCAAAATATGCATCCCTTTGGAAAATTCCAACATTATTTGAATATTCTTCACACCATTCATATAGCATTTAAAGTTCACTAAATTATAAAATTAACTATTAAAATTGTAATGAATTTTCAATCAATATCCTATATTTTTTTATGCTTTTTTGAGTAAGCTATTCATTCATATGGCTGAAAAACCGAAATACATTAAAGGTATACAATTATAGAGTGAAAATATCTCCTTCCATCTTGCCCCCTTCCCCTAGTTCCCACATTTCACCCCCACCCCAGAGTGGGCCACTATTACTGTTTTTTTTTTTTTCTATTATTAGTCTTACTAACCCAAAACATAATGGGACATTCCATTTTTTCAAGTTGTTATTTGAGTTTGTAGTGTTTTATAGTTTTCTTTTTTTAAATTTTTTTAATGTTTATTTTTGAGAGAGAATGAGAGTGTGAGCGGGGGAGGGACAGAGAGAGAGGGAGACACAGAATTGGAAGCAGGCTCCAGGCTCTGAGCTGTCAGCACAGAGCCTGACATGAGGCTCAAACCCACAAACCGTGAGATCATGACTTAAGCTGAAGTCAGAAGCTTAACCAACTGAGCCACCCAGGCACCCCTGTTTTATAGTTTTCTTCAAATAGATCTTATACATCACATGTTTATTCTTAGCCATTTTATCCTATCTGTTGCTATTATAAATGAGGTTTTTTTTATTCCTATTATTTATTCTATGGGGTGACTGTATATAGCAAATTTATTAATTTGTTTGTTAAGTTTACACTGCACTTATTTTTTTAGTATTTTTTACCTCATTCCCTTAAGTTTTATAAGTACACAATTATATTCTATGCAGCTAATCATTTTACCTCCTCTCTTCTCATTTCTAAACGTCTATTTCTTTTTCTTATCTAATTGTTTGTTCAGATATTAAATTGTAATGGTAATAATGGATATCCATGTTCTATCTCTGAGTTTGGAGAAAGCAATTCTAACATTAAATATTATGAAGCTTCTATGCTGACATGTAAATATTTTACCATGTTAATGAAATGCCATTTGGTACTAAGTTACAAGCGTCTTTATCAAGAATACTTATTCATCTTTGCCAAATATCTTATTTCAACTTTTCAACCAAAAGCCCTTTTTTCATAGATCTGTTATCTATGTTATGGCAGTATTGATTCTTCCTGTGCTTCTTCCTATGTCATCTTCATTTCCTATGATGGCTTTTGGTTTTGCTTCCACTTCCTTGCTCATCATTAATTTTTGCTGTATTTGTAATGTAGGCCTTTCTTAATAAATTACTTCATTAGGTTTTACTTAGTTTATGGTGAAATGGTCATAATTTTTATCCGTTTTGTGGTATTTACCAGCGTGTTATTTGGTAAATTTAGTCAAACTCTCCCACCTTTTTTTCCTGAGAGTATTTTTGTATCAGTGCTCTTGCTAACTCTGTTTTTATTATTCATTTTGGAATAAACTGGACTTTTTAAACCCAGCTATTTGTAGAATGTCACATATTTTGCTGTTTTTTTTTAATTTTTTATTTATTTATTTTGAGACAGAGATAGAGACAGTGCAAGTGGGAGAGGGGCAGAGAGAGAGGAAGAGAGACAGAGAGAATCCCAAGCAGGCTCCTAACTGTCAGCACAGGGCCTGGTGTAGGGATTGAATTCATGAAACTGTGAGATCATGACCTGAGCCAAAATCAAGAGTCAGACACTCAACCCACTGTGTCATCTAGGTGCCCCTATTTTTTTTTTAATTTGCCACTATTGTCCCAAGTTATTATTGACATATCTCTACAGGTTTAGTTTTATTTTGTTCCTGGGGCTTCGTTGCACATTGCATCAGCTTTGGATAGCCCTTAGGTGTCTTGTTTTTAATCCTTTCTATTATACCTTCTTCATTATATTGCTAAACTTTGAGTTTGGTTATTTATTCAAGGCATATTGTTACTATTGAATGATATCCAAGAGGAGAGTTGGTAAACTACTCTCTAATTTTTCCATGAAAATATGGTTGAATACTTCATTATATTTGTTGTGATTTGCAATGGAATTTTTGGCCGGGGGAAATAAAGCCTTGACACTATGTTGACAATGACGCATGCATGTCACCACTCAGGACTCCGCTAAAACAAACAACCTGATAGCTTAATGCTAATCTTACCTGGTTCACAAAATATGAACTTATTTCTCTTATATGTAAGTGTCTTTAACACATGTATTCAAATACATAGTCTATATTAAACACAGGCATTTTTCTCCAAAATAAGTTTTAAAAACCAGTAATTTATATCAAATTTTTCTCCAGGAAATCTATCCCATTCTCTTGTCTTTCTGAGCCATCATTAAAAGCATTCTGCATTTCTGAGCCAATGTAAGAGAGGGTACTCTAGCATTAAATTACATTAGAAATAATCATTCCATTCTCAAGAGCAAATTTGGCACAAGAGAAGATAAGCATGTTTTCTAGATCTCCTCTTGGACATTAATGTACCTCATAGAATACCAACAAATATCTTGGAGGCACCCAGCATGGATAGGGTAACAAATGACCATCTTAAGTGGTATAAGAGATTCTCAAATTAGACATAACAACACCAAATTCAGCCAAAAATTCCCCTGGTTTTTAAGAAGACAGCGAATTATTTCCCCCACTCTCACTAATGTTACATAAAGTGGGTGAGCAAAACCATTAACCCCAAACGCCTCTGACTAGTGGTTTAATTATTCTCTCTGGTTGCTGAATTCTGAGAGCAGAAACCACCGCAACTATAAAGATGAGTCACTGGACCAGCTCTGAGTTGGCCTTGAGCATTCTTACCAAAATTGGTATTGCCACCTCCAGTTGTGTGTGGACAGACAGGACAGCATTCTCCAGGGGGAGTTACAGGGTCAGCACATTCAAGTACATCCTGGCACTGTATCTTGTCACAAAGGATGGCTCCATTGTCACACACACAGATTTGGCAAGGGGCAGGTTTCCAAATGTCCCTGTTTAAGTACATCTGACCATTCTGAGTGCAGGCTATTTCTTCACCATATCCTTCTAGAATAAGAAAAAAAAGAAGGGGGGGGGCAGGGAAAGGAGGTTAGTAATCTTCTGAAATTTTGGAATCTGGGAAATACTTAAGAAGGGGAGTCATCTTGTGGGTTCTAAAAATTCTGGGCTAAGCAGTAACCTACCAAGGAGGCAATATACAGATGAACTTACTTTATTTGGTATTTACACACAAAGCAAAATGCAATTCACAATGAAATGCTTATACTTCTAGCCCAGCATGATGGGGGAAGAAAAAAAAGTGATCAAGGGAGATATATTTAATCAGATAATGCTTCCCAAAAGATTTCATTTGTGAAGGTATAGATAACCAAACGTAGGAAAATCAGTAAGAAGAGATAAAAACAAACCATTTGAAAGGGGGAGGAAAAGAATAGTTCAAAAGGGAATATATAACTTCCGGGTTTGGTGAACTTTTATGTGATTTTCAATTCCCTAGAAATTTTAGATTAGTAAATCCCACAACAACAGAAGATGATATATATTCTTGCACTGTGAAGAAAAACTTTAAAAAGAGTGTATGGGTTTTCAAAAATTAGTTTTAAACATAACGTAGAAAAAGAATAATAGCGTTCCATTTCATGGACTGTATTTGCTAAACTAAAGGTGTTTACTCAAGGAATAGCAAAGCTTAAAAAGGCAATGCAGTAATTATCTTTACATAAAAATTAATTAAGGGGAGTCCTGACCACGACAATATGGTAAGTTATTATATAATATCTGCCAAATACTTTTCTACACTTAGATAAAACCTTAATGCAGATTTAGAAAATATATACACACATTTACACACATAACAATAACAATACAATTATACGATAAATATAATTTATTTATTTTAAGATAAATATATATATATTTAACTTTGTGACTTTTAAGAAACAAAACTATAGTATTTTAAAACACAATGTGGATCATATCATATCATATCATACCATCCTAGTTTAACTCCTGTAGAATGTTCCAAACTACTCAAATTCTAAAGCCCAGAGATTCCTCCCTCCCAGTCCTTACACAACTTGCCCTCCCTCCTTGAAGGCACACAGTGTTCACTATTACATTTTGCTTACTGTCACCTGCCCCCACAGTTCTCTGACTACTCTATAGAAGTAGATCTCCCTCCCCCCCACTCGTGCTCTCTCTCTCTCTCTCTCAAAAATAAATAAACATTAAACATTTTTTTAAAGAGACCTCCTTTATCCAACTAGTATGACTCTCAGTACTTTTTGAAGAACTCAGTCGTCCACCCATTCATTCATTAATTTTGTTTTATATGCTGGCTAATTAACCAGTTTCTAAAATGTGAACAGACAGGCAAAAATCACAGCCCTCATAAAACCTATCACAAGTAATATTAATTTACCATTTTTACTTTTTATTTTTTATCTCCTTCACTAGACCATAAATGCCATGAAAATAAGGACTAGTTTTTCTTTTTCATCATGGTATTTCTAAAGCTTGACTCCATACCTTGCAGGGAGCCAACATTCAACAAAATAGATATGAATGAATGAGTGAGTGAATCTGAATTATGGTTCACTAACTTAATTGCACCAGCATTAATGTACACTTTACAAAAATAAAACTGAAACTTAAAAAATGCATTAGTTTATAAGATAATTTATCATTTTTCTTTATTTTAATGAAGTATAGTTGATATACAATATTATATTTTCAGGTGTAAGACATAGTGATTTGACAATTATATATACTATAAAATGCTCACCATGATAAATGTATCACTATCTGTCACTATCCAAAGTATTACAATGGAAAGAATTTATCATTTGCCATATAAATATACTCAAATGATAATGCAGACTACAGATAAAAATTTCAGTGTAGGATAAAGACATTGGCCCATATATCCATCTTCCTAACTTTAGAAAGCTTTCCTTGGATAACATTCTTTTCACTGCTCCATGGAATACTTGGCTTCACACATCTAGCCTTCATCACAGCTATATGGCAAATGGAAAGTTGCTTTCAAAGCGTGACACCACATCCTGGTTTCTGTGTCATTCACAAGGAGATTCTAAGACACTAAGTTTCTAATCTGTTTCATTTTCATCAAAAGATGTTTATCACAGAACACATAGCTAATCAACAAAACAATATTGGCTCTGTGTACCTGGTGCTGTTTCACGAATTTTAAGCCAGGGAGAAAATAGAATTCCTGCCTTAACATGTAATACAGGACTATTCTGAAACAAAATAAGAAATTTGTACATCAGATAAGCCCTGTTACTTTTGCTTATTTTATTTGTTTCATGTCTTTATTGACAAAAAAAAAAAAGGTCACAGCACTTCAGAATTTATTCAGATACACAAACCGTACCCACAAGTGATAGGCATGGTCCCTAACCTCTGGGTCAAAGGCCACGCTGGAGGGTGTGGGTGTCCTCTTGGCCACTGCCCCTGCACCTCGCTGACACCCCTGAGATCAGTTAACACTGCAGAAACAAAGCCGCTCTAGAGGTTGGGCTGCACTCACTGCCAAGGAGAAAGCAGGTTCTGAGGAAAGACAGAAGCGTGCTATTGTAGCATCTCCTAGGAGAGGCCAGGCTGCTTCCCCAGCTGGGCCTGCATTGCCCCCCGCCTCAGCCCCATCACAGAAGAAAGAACACGTTCCCCACCTGGCAGCACAGGGCAGCTGGAAATTGTGGGTCACTGGCCATGTGACACCCCAAACCGATGGCCAGACCTCCCTCCAAAGTCATCCACCGGACTCTCTCTCCCAAGGGGAGAAGGCTTTCGGTAAAATAGACTGATTTGGTTCATAAAGGGCTGGGATGGATACTTTTCCAGAAACCTTAAGAACTGAATCATCCATGGGGGCACCTGGGTGGCTCAGTCGGTTAAGCATCCAACTTCGGCCTAGGTCATGATCTCAAGATTTGTGAGTTTGAGCCCCACGTTGGGCTCTGTGCTGACAGCTCTGAGCCTGGAGCCTGCTTCGGATTCTGTGTCTCCCTCTCTCTTGTTCGCTCTCTCTCTCTCTCTCTCTCTCTCTCTCTCTCTCTCTCAAAAAGCATTAAAAAATTTTAAAAAAGAAAAGAACTGAATCATCTTCAGATTCAGGAGCATTGGAACAATCGTCACTGGGTTGCCTTGAGGAGGGAGACCTGGAGAAAACCAGCCCTCTAGGAGAGCAGAAACATCACTTGCGTTTGTTTCTCAGAGCACCCAGCATGGGGCTCAGCAGCCTTTCTACAGGATCCACTGTAGGACTCTGAAAAGAGACATGAATAACAATGCATTCCTGAGGGGCCTGCCCTCAGCTGCCCTCTGACCACCTCACTTCACTCCTTCCTGCAGGCTGGGGAGCACAGTCTGAGGACCAGGCATTCCCCAGGGGAAAAGCAGATCTGATTGGGCTCAAGGCCCCAAATGAAGCTGCTTTCCCTCGTTAGAGTCACATATGACTTTTTTGAATAGGCCAATGAGCATGTCTTCCAAAGTCCTCTGTCCTCCCCAGGTCAGAGCAGCTTTTCCCTGATACACTCAAATCTTGTGTTTTCCGAACGATCATAGGAGGATGCCTGTGACCTTTTTGGAAGGTGACTGCTTTTACTGTAGGGGGCAGTTCCTCTACCATTTTATAGCTGTAGAAATTGTGGGCACAGGCCAGAGTTCTGAGGTGCCCATGTCAACAGGCACACTCACGCTGGTGTGTAGACACACGCATACCAGCAGACACCCCTGTACACACATTTCTATCCTGCTCTACACACAGAGAGATAAGGTCAAAGTGTGAACCCTGGAGAAGAGGGGCCGTCTACGCATGGGCAGGTTACAGACTCAAAAGGCATTTGGCACTGTCTGTAAGTCAGTCCCAAAAGTTGCGGCCCCAGACCCACCTCTTGAGCACTGAGCTATGGAGCAGAGAGAACCTCACTGTGAAGGGAACCAGGAGTGAGTGGTGCAAAGTGGCTGTTACAGATGGAGCGTTCCCCAGAGGCACTTTCCCCTTCCCTGGGCCATTTGCCACACTAGGAGAAGTCAGGATTCTCCAGTCCTTTGCGTTCAATGACTGCTCACCAAGACTCAAGAGCTCAGGGAGAAGGTCAAGACACAAGGTCTGCGGCCCCAGCCCAAAGGAGGGCTTTCTTCCCCTTCTTGGTCAAACAAGAGTTTCATTCTCCATGACATGGCACTCTGCAGATAGCAGTGATGGTAAGGGGTGGGCTCAGAGACGCGGGGAGTTCTCAGACTGCCCAGCAAACACATACACCCTACCGGGAATGGTGTGGGGTCACCGACACAGCTACGAGGCAAGTTTGCCAGGGTTAGAACCCAAGAAGAGACCGTCAGACAAACGTCGATCAAAAATTCAGTCAAGGCATTTCCCAGAGATAATCACAGAAATAGCAACACTTTTGGATACTACAACAGAACACATTTGGCAACTTTCAAAGAAATAGATGTCCCCACCCCAAGCCATCAGAGGGTACAAAGTCCCTTTATCTTTGGTCCAGTATAAAAAGTCAGGGAAGGAAGATGGGCCAACAGAGGGTGAACAAAGGCTGCAGACCATTTGTAACAACTACCTGACGCTCCTATCTGTGTGTGACACAGTGTGGGATGCCGCCTGCCTCAAACGAAAGCAAGCTACTGGAGGGTCAGAAGCCTTATAAGTTTTAGGTGAAAAGTCACGTTGAAGTAATGCAGTTTCATCAGGAAGTTACATTTCTATATGTAGCTATATAGAAATGGACTTATTTCTATAGTCTACTGAAAAGTTCAATTAGGTAAACACCTTAAGAATAATTTTGTTCGTTAAGTTTTTTTTTCAAGTTGTTTCTTTAAATTCTGGTTAGTTAGCGTATAGTGTAATATTGGTTTCAGGAGTAGAATTTAATATTCATGAAGTTTTATGATTGACAATGAAATAATCCAATAACACTAAATGCCATTGGCTGAAAATGAGATTCACCATAAGATCAAGTAGCTTGGTTCTTCCTTTCTCCACCCTAAGGGGACAAAAG